TTAATAATTAATTTTATTACTATTAATATTATTTAATATAGCTTTAAAATATTTTTAGAACTTTTAAATAATATTAACTATATTAAAGTTAAAGATATAATAGAGATTTTTAAAGATATTTAATAATAGCTATTAAATAGCTTAAGATATAATATAATAAGAATACTATAAGTAAAAAACTATATAGTACTATAGAGAAAAGAAGTTTTAATAGAAGTTTAATAATTATAAGTATAATTAATATTAATAAATAAATAATAGTTGATAATATTATTTATTTATTTTAGTTATTATAAAATAATTAAAATAAATAATTAATAACTAAATAGAGTAAGGCTTAAGAGAGTATACCCTTAGTGATCTTAATAGCTTTAAGCCTTAAGTAGAAGTAGGACTGATTTAATGCGGCTTAGTAAGGAGACCTAAGACTTGTGTGTTTCGACCTTGACGAAAATGGACTTTAACCACCATTTGGAGACTTCTGTGGTAATAGGAAGGGCCGCTAACGGTTGATGGCGCTTGTTAGACAACTTGAGACTAAATACCTAGCATTCCAGCTCACTGGGGCTTCGATTTGGCCAGCCTAAAGACAATAGGGGCAATGTGTTTGAGAATCTGTGTGGCATTCCCGTTGAGGCAAACGATACCGTAATTGCGAGTTTTTCGGTCGCCATTGATTCTCATCGCTTGCGAACCGCAACTGCCGTTCCTTCCACAGCAGGTTGCCGGTTTGACGTCTGACAGGAATAGTAATTTCAGCAACTATGCTATTGGCAGCGTCCGGAGCAACACATAGCCAGACGACGGTTGCCGACTTCCGGGTCATAAAATCGGATCAGCGTGCATCCCAACTCTTCATGCAAGGGTGATTTCGAGTAAAAAGCGACATGCTGTAGGTAAGATAGACTCGGTTACATGTGGTGACACAAAAAAAGCACGACAAAGATGACACTCTGGGGATGAATGATATGATTTTGGGTTCATGTAGGTTGCCTATCGGCTTGCAGTATGCAGGTAAGACAAGCTGTTTGGGGATGATGAAGACCAACCAACCCTCATCAACGCGGAGGATGGAGGATTACTGACCTGCTGGCAGGCTCGGGTTAAGTATTGTGAGACCTTGGCGAATATAGAATCTTACGCCAGCAATAAGCAACCGAAAAGCAGATTGACCAGCTGATGATGGCTGTCGGCCTGCGAGCTGACGATAGGCGAGTCCGTAGCTGGTCGGTTGCAGAAGTGATTACGTACGCCGTGATAAAGGGAACAACGGACGACGACAAGCCTCGTGTTTTTCATTAGCCCGTGTTGCGCGGCCCAGGGCTCTGAGTCGCGCTGCCGTCGTCGACGACGGCTTCAGCCTTTGTCAATCACAGTGATCCGAGCGTCCGCAACGGTGTTGATTGTCCTGATGCAGAACGGGAGCCGGCATGGCAGTCCCGGGGATGGAGCTGGGTGGCATTCCGAGGCTCTAGCTTCGGCGTGGCGCAGTGTTGCCATGGGTGTCGCATCCCGGCACCAGTTGCCAGTTGCCAGGGCTGGGACGCGGTCGAAATCCTGCTGGGTGAACAAGCTTTGGATGATCCGGAGAGCTGGCCCTCACCGGCTTCCTCAGCTAGGGCAACACGGCAGCCGCGTGAGGGATGTGGGCGGCGCTGTCGAGAAAGGGCCAAACAGCTGAGAGCGGATTGCCAAAATGGCAGAAGGGGCGCCGTATTCGGGGATAATCGATGGGATTTGTCCAGCAGATGGCCCGTGGCGGCGGGATCTCATTTCGCTTAGGGTTTCACAGCCGGCGCCCCAGGGCTTGGAGTTGGCCAACTTGGCCCTGCCGGGACTGACGTTGTCGGGACTGGAAGAGTCGACGGCCCCCCAAGTCTTCCAAGTCCCGGGCTCGCTGGGCTGGACTGGATCCGTTCGGTTCCACGTAATCGACCAAACGCAAAAGGGGATAGGCTCAAAGGAAGAGGAAGACAACGACGTGGAACCAACCCAAAGTGGTGAAACGGGTCCGAAGGGCGGGTCTTATCGTGTTCTCGGTGGCCTCGCATTCGTCCCATTTTCCTCACTGATGGCATCAGTCTCTTCAGTTGATCAAAGCGCCTGGGCTGCCGTCCAATCTTTCGTTTCTGTCATCTCTCGTTCGTCTGATGCTGCGGGACTGATACGAAGAGACAAGGTATTCGCAGCGTAGGGCGGACCCCGTAGGCTTCTCAGCCCTGGATCAGCGCAGCTGAGAGAGCGTGAGACCGGGTTTTTCGAGCGGGTGAGGGCCTCGTCAGTCGGGACTGCCTTCAAAGGCGCCAGGGCGAGTGACTCGTCGTCGATGAGGCTTTGCCTGGGGGGCAGGCAAGGGATACGCAGGCGGTAATGTCCGCAAACGGCACTGGCCTCGTTGATTGTCTGCGTGTCTCCCCGGTGATGGCGTGGAGGTCATGGAGGGTGAGAGGGTAACTGAGCAGGAGCATGGTGGGTGAAGAGAGTGACTTTTCGAAGATTTGGTAGGCACATCTAAGAAGTTGGTGGAGGCCAAAGCCAGGTTTTCGAGCGAGGCCAAGGCGTAGTTGAGTTGCATACAGCAACGGACCCAAACAGCTTTAGGGTTGGAAGAAGTTGCGGAGGTGCAGGTTGAACGGACGGGAACAGGCAGGAGAGAGGGATTTTTCTTGCTGATGATTCTTACCTGCATCACGCTTGCAGCTCCTACCGTTCCTGACATATCTACCGCCGACCTACCTACCAAGGACTGCCACCTGTGTCTCTTGCCAGCCTGTGCGGATGCATCGTCGTCTGGCAGCCGCTGACTGGACTGGTCGATGGGGGCACGGGGGCCAGGAGGGCGGTTGAGGGGATTAAGCAGGGAAGCAGTCAGCTGAGGAGACTTGTGGTGCGTGGACTTGGCCTGTATCTCTTGGCCGTAAAGGCCGCGGCGGGATACTTTCGGCAGATGTAGCGGCTCACCGAAGTATCCTTGGCGCCCGGTGTTCCAAGGTTGCGCCGCGGTTCCGGTTCCTGCAGCAGTTTGCCCCCCGTTCCTGCATAAGCCAGGGGTGAAAATGGCGCTTCTTGCTCGATTGGCTGTCCGGTTGGCCAACTTTGCGGTTCTTCGACCCTGCCAAGTTGCAGTCCCCCTCCCTCTTCCTGCCGCACCGGTTGCTGGCAAAAGGTCCAGGCCAGCAGGTGTTGCAACGCGGAAGGAAGGAAGCGCTGCTTGTGCTTGTTCTTGTGATGGTGGGTGGGCGGCAATCAGAAACACCCAAGAATGCAGCAGTTTGTTTCTCTCCCTTCGTTTGGACGCCGAGTAGCCGTATTCGTAAGGAGCGCGGGGATTGAAGACGAGTGAAACCGAGACTCGGACTATTAAGGATTAGAGACAGATATCCGGAGAAGAAAGGGATTGTTCAATGGTCCTCCTGATGTCTCGGCATCCTGGGACCTGACGTCGACTAACACGCAGAATTCCAAGCGTACTATGTCACTGTGGGTGTCTTCTGCCCTGCGACGAAGTGAATGAGTGCGGCAGTTTCTTGATTCTCCGCCGTGGGCATCAAGTCTCTGGGGAATTGTGTCGAGGAAGTCCTGGGTAATCTTCTGTCATCAGGTCGTAACGCCAACACAGTGATCCCAGTTGTCGCGGACGTCTCCCGCCCCTGTGCCCAGTGAGCGCTTGCCAGAGAGTCAGTTGAGTGTCCAGACCCTCCAAGCCATGACGAGGTGCCACAAAAATAACCGGGACTGGCCCGAGAAGAAAGCACGGCCTGCAGGGCGCTCGCTGATCTCTACCCCCCGAAAAACGAAAAACGAAAAAACGAGCAGGAAAAAAAAAAGGTGTCAAAGAAAAATCGGATGAAAAAAGATTTGATGAACTGGGCAGGGGGTTTCCACTCGCCAGTTCCGTCCCATCTGTGCCACCACCATGAACCATCGACCTCCATCGACCACCGCAGCAGTGACGGTGACGGCTCCACCTGCCAGTGCCAGCGCCATTTGATGTTGGCAGTGAAGTAGGTATGAAGTGGGAGCGAAGGTGAATCAAGAGAAGATGGCGCGTCCATTGCTCCTGTGTGAGAAACCACTACCGCACCACTTCCTTTCCCGGAAAGCGCGACACCTCCGGCCCGTCCTGAGCCCCTGCCTTTTTAGCGTCGTGATGTTGACCTTCTGTGCGCGCGAATAGGCAAGTACGGATATTTGTAGATACCTCAGGTAGGTACACTACAAGTAGGTAGGTGCGGATAGACGGGGATAGATGGTACCTTCCACTTCTACGAATATTCGTACCTCCTTCCTCGTGGTGAATCGACAATCAGCCCCGTTTACCTGCAGCGCCCCCGTCGGGACCCACAGTCCGCACTTGCTCCCGCGTTGCTCACCAGTGACCAGTGGCAGTGGCCGCCGCCCTTCCCAGTCCCACTCCCACACCCGATCGTTCGCTCGCTCCTTCTCCCGGTCGACTTCATCTGGGCCGCCAGCGCCCAGCGCCCAGCGTCTAGACTCCACCCACCTTCACCTGCACGTTTCCTTGCCTTCCCTTCCACGTCCACGTCCTTGCCATTTGTTTCCCCCGGTATCCATGGACACTCCTCTCCCTTCTTAAACTCCTTCTTTTCCCCCACACAATCTCTGCTTGTTTCCCCTTCCTTCCCAACATCAACCGGCTCGTCACTCCCTTTTCCAGCCATCAACACATTCCTTCAGCAACCGGTCGCCAGCTTCGACCTTGCCTTCGCAGTTCGTTGTTCCACTAACTCATCGACAACAACCGCACCACCTTCCTTATTCGCGTCTTTGATAGACCGAACAACAGCAGAGATTAAACACTCCTTCCGTGTATCTTTAGATATCACAACATTCACTCCAGCGGCCGGTATCAACGCGGATTCGACATCTTCGGGAAAGAAACAGTCAACGGCTTTACAAGCACCAATCTCGATAGACCTTAGTCACGCAAACACCACCTCGGAAACCACACCTCGATTTCATCGACCACTTACAACAAAATGTACGCCAAGAACGTTGTTCTCGCCGCCGCCGGCCTCGCTCTCGTCGAGCAGGCCCTGGGCTTCAACGCTCACCGTCATGCCCACCAGCAGGCCAAGGAGAAGCGTGGTGACGACTGGGTTATTGCTACTATCGATGGCCAAGTCGTGTCCTGGATCAACAACTGGCACGGCCCTACCCCTGCCGCTCCCGTCGCCGCCCAGTCTACCACCACCGTCCCCGTCGTCGTTCCCACTCCTGCCCCCGTCGTTGCTGCTGCCGCCCCGACTACCACCTTGGTGACTTCCTACGCTCCCAAGGTCCAGGCCCTCGCCGCCTCCCCTTCCTCCTCCAAGGCTGCCGCCGCCACCGGTGCCGTCAGTGCCAAGGGTGCCTACTCTGGCAGCAAGCGCGGTCTCGCCTACAACGATGCCAGCCTCGTCTCCAGCTTCATGTCCAGCGCCGGTGAGAAGTGCGGCTGGGCCTACAACTGGGACTCCAGCTCCAACGGTCTTTCCGCGAACCTCAACTACGTCCCCATGCTCTGGGGCCCCATTCCCACCCACCTTGAACGCTGGACTAAGAACGCCAACGCTGCCATCGAGGCCGGCTCTACCCACATCCTGAGCTTCAACGAGTGCGACCTGCCCGCTCAGTGCAACATGGGCGCCTCTGCCGCTGCCGCTGCTCACATCGAGCACATGAACCCCTACAGCGGCAAGGCCAAGATCGGTGCCCCTGCCATCACCAACAGCAACATCGCTGGTCAGGGTCTCGACTGGCTCAGTGATTGGGTCAAGGCTTGCAAGGAGGCCGACCCCGAAGACACCGAGAAGCAGTGCAAGTACGACTTCTGTGTCACTCACTGGTACTCTCCCGCCGACGCCGCCGACACCCTCTTCTCCCACCTCGAGAAGGTCAACAAGATCTGCGATGGCAAGCCCGTCTGGCTCACCGAGTTCGCTCCTCTCGGCAGCGACGACCAGATCTCCAGCTTCGTCCAGGCCAACGTCCCCAAGCTCGATGCCGTCAGCTACCTCGACCGCTACGCCTACTTCATGGTCAAGGATGGCGTCCTCATGTCCGGCAACTCCGTGAACGCCCTCGGCAGTGCTTACGCTTCCGCCTAAGTCGTCCGAGGTTGATTCGTTTGATTATGAGCGCATTGGGTTATGGGATTTTCGGTTTTCGGGGTTCAAGGTGGATAACTCATCAGGAAGTGTTCATCACTTCCTCTTCTTCTTCTCCTGTACATACAGTTAACATTTTCTTCCTTTTCGGGACTCTCGCTTCACATTCAGAGGGTGGTCGCTCGCTGGATATTTTCCCACTGGATGCTCTTTTTTCGGCTCGGGTTTGGCTCAACAACTTGGGATACCCGACACACAGGTGTTTGCGGACTTTTGAGGCATAGAAAAGGGAAACCGGCTCCGGGACGATCCTACGAGGAACCAAAAGGATAGACTCACGAGCTACGAACGCATTGAATGGAATACCAGGCTACAAAGCCACGTTAAAATCGCCCATCATGATGACTGTCGTCCGTAATGCTGTGATGTCCGAGGACAATGTGCGGAATAACTATGAGACCGTTGGTCCTTGTCTGTTTACATTCCTGGGTCGAACGGTTTCCAAAACGGTGGTCGAAAGAAGGGACCTCCTGCTGGTGATTTGGGGTAGGACGGGTAACTAACTCCAAACGTTCGGTCCCGACAGACACAGCATAGCCCTTCCCCGCGAGACACAGACACAAGCATATGCTGTGGCCCGTTCCAACCGTCTCCGAGTCTCCGCCTAGGTAACGAGAGAAAGCAGGCAAACGTATGAAGCTCGTGCGGAGGGGGAATTTAAGCTTCCGCCGGATGTCACGAGCCCGTGCGCCGATCGAGTCCCGCATGGGGCTTTGCTTTTTGTCCCGTTGGTCGGAGGTTACCAGCAGGAAGCGCTTTTGAGTTGTTATGTTACGTGTGTATGTGAGCTGCCTATGGACCGACGATGTCTATCCTGCGTGGGATGCGTGGGATGCGGTGAGGGGCTTGTTGCTGACACACGCAGGTAAGCAAGCGTCCTCTTCTGCCGTCGCGTTTCGTGCTGTTCGTGGTGAATGAGACGTATTCCGTGGAGGCGTTCGCGATACCCAGTCATGAGATTTGAGTTCTGGTGAAGGAGGGGTTCGGTGATGTAGACATCGCAGATCATGATGCCACAAGGCCGACTTCACCTGCCTTGGCGGATTGCTCTACTTGGCGGTACATGTCATTCTCTCCGTCCAGTAGAGGTCGCCAGGGCCCGAAGTAATTTGCGCTGACGCAGAATCAAAAGCGAGTTCTTACTCAAGAAGGCGTGACTGTTGATGGTGTGCCGACGTGAGGAGAGATGGGGGTTAACTCCATCGGCGTTGTGTCTTTCGGCGTTTTCACTAATTAGCCTCTGAACGATTTTCGGCGTTGTTTTTTATTCCATTTCTCTCATTTCGGCCTGAAGAAGTCGGCGCGCCAAAAGTATCCCACCCGCCGGGCTGTCACAGCTAGCGGGCTTGGAGAAATCTTGAGGAGAGATGGTGGTGGGTGCTAGTCAACGCGGCAGCCTGGTTGGTTGGACGAATGGAAGAAGGATGGAATGAAGTTAGTAGCGGCAGCGTTAGACATCCCGAACATCTCGACGGCTCATCGCCGGTCGTGGGGGGATGGATCTACGATGCGCACACGTGTTTGACATGGCAACGTGCAGAGAACACTAGCAAGAGGCTTAGATCCGTTGTTGCCAGGGGAGGAGTGGGAAGACGAGATGGTGTCGAAGCAGAGAGAGAGAGAGGAACGAACGCACAAGGGGGAGGCGAAAGATAAAAATCGGATCGTGATCTACGGCATTGTGCCATTCTTTGCCATGTGGTTTGTTACAATGGCACTTTTTCGCCACGGCCGGGGGAAGAGACTTTGCAATTTGCCCATTATCATGTTGATCCTGAGGAATGGGATTCTCGCCAATGGCGGCGGCGCCGAGTGAATATACAAACTGCCGATGGGAGAAAGAGGTCAGGCTGCCGAGCGAAGTCGCGCGGCTGCCGGTGAAGCCACGCCGACGATGGGACGTTTGAATGTCGTACAGTCTCTGTAAGGTATGAGTATTTGTGTGCTGCCGGCGGGCTGGAGAGATGCGTGTGTCTCGTGTTTCTCGCATGTAGACTGGACTTGAGGTCGATATACTGGACGAGCGTGGTGGTGTAGATAGTCGCATGTATCATGGCCTTGGGAGTGATAATACGATGAAAGATGTCAGCGTACGGGGGGCACGGGTTATGTGCAGACGACATGTGAAGGAAGTATGGACGAAAGAAAATCCAGAAAAAGGAGTATCAGATGCTGGCCAGTGAGGTGGCCTCGCTCTACGAGACGGGCTCAGCCCACGTCCGGCTTACTATGATGCCGTTGCGGTACGCGGGAAAGACATCCTCTTGGCGCGGATTGCAGGAAACAGAGCAGGAGATATCAAGAAGAGAAGGGAACGGACGAGGTAGCGCCGTGGTATGTCGGGAGAAAAACTGCCTCGAAACCAGTTCGAAGCTTCATTCTCGGAGAAATCTCCCGACACACACACACGGCCACTACGAATACAGACGAAAGAAACCAAGAAAGCCAAATGGGCGTCAGTGACGTTGAAATCAGGCCAAAGACAGGGAGGCAGGGGGCGGAAGGCTCGAGTAGAGTTGCGTTGGGCTGTTGGTTCGAAAAAGCTGAGGACGGGGATGGATGGAGGAAAGCAGCCAAAGAACTGGAGGATTCGCCGTAGGATTTTATCATAATGACTCGCGAGAGGTGGAATGGTGCATGAAGGAGCGTGTTTCTCCCGTCTCTTTGGCCCCGTTACTGTAGGACGAGACGAAAAACGATGGAGGTACGGATACACCGAACCGCCTTTCCCCGGCTGGTGGAGGGGAGGGGGGGACTGCGCGGCGAGGGTGGGTACCCGTGACCCGAACCGAACCGTCGACGGTACTTCCGGTGAAGTGGAGATGGCGGCGGCGGTGGTAGGTATCGTCTTTCCTGTCTGTCTACCTGCCTTGCGTTTTGGTAACACGCCGCAGATGATCCTGGCATGTCACGCGAGCTGAAGAGACGACGTGTTTGAACGCCTCAGGTGAGTCTCTGCGATTTAACCCCTTGAACGAAAGTCCGCCCAGAGTTCCAGGACGGCAGGCGAGAGGAAGGTCCAACGGGCCTCCGACGAGACGAAGCACACGAGGCAAGAAGATGTCACCCTGAGATGTCATAGTAGGCTGACGTGACGTCTGCCGCAGCCTGATAATTCAGCGTCGACGTTGTATCGTTTTCGCACCCTTGCTAGACGACGGGTCCCTCGTAGACTACGTTCTCAAGCTTTTCCTATTCGCTTCTTCTATGCATTCTTAGCGTTGGCGGCTTACCGCAGTAGAGTTGTATCGCTGTACGAAGGGACCACACTCCATGTTTGGAACTTCGCTTCGCCACGGTAGCATCACATCAACAGTCTCCGACTGGCTAGGTGCTGCAAGTTCACACGTGTGTTAAACACGGAAGAAAGATGAGGCTGCACAACGTGCTCCGGCAGATCTCATATCTCGGTAGATAGATCTCTAATTTCATCCTCGTTTCGCCTCCTCCAGGTCTTGGGAGTTGCTACCCTGAACCTTTCGTCCAGTCCAAACCGTTCCGTGTTGGATTCCATCGAATTACCGCTTTGGGACTGGATAGCGTGATAATGCGTTGGTCGAAGGTGCGGACACTCATAGGGCAGAACGCTTTTTGCCCGCGCATAGTAGCGCAACACTTTATCCCATCTCTTGCTTCATCCCGCAGTGACATGGTTTAACGCTGTTACACAGCCTACCAATGGTCCAATACTCTGTCCGCAGAATTAGAAGGAATTCAAGTTCAAAAAACAAGCGATGGAAAGGAAACATACTTCTCCGGCGCGCCTTACTGACCACCTCATGTGTAAGAGACGTTCTTGGTATCTCTGCAGGCCCGAAGCCAATGGGCGTGGCAGAACCGTCTCGGCAGGTCTACCGAGACGAAGAGCTGGTCTCCTTGTCGTTTCCTGTCGCCAAGAAATAGCGAGGAATACGCGAGGATTAACACGGACTGAGCCAGGGTGGCAGCTGTTGCAGCGACACAAGAGGCCAATGCTCGTTTGTATGCTGCTTGGCGTGCCCAATGCTTCATGCCCATGCCTATGCCCAGAGGTGCCAATGCGCCAGCGTCTCGTTTTCTGGTTTCTGTCTGCCCGTCCTTTGCTTGTGATGTGTTATCGAAACCCACCTCTCAATGCCAGATACAAGCATACCCGCAGCCAATATCAAGCGCAAACCGGGGCTGGGTTGAGGATGTTGGCGATAACACTGCTTCTTCGCGATTCCATCATCTCTTGCTACAGCAGCAAATCCCGAGAACGGTCGCTCGAGTTAAAATCGTACAATTCGTACAGCTCGAGGGGCCAAGCCGCGCCTCTTGCGTCGCTGGGCAGACACCGGTGGGAAGCAGGAGCCACTCCACCGTCCGGTCCCCCCCAAGCGGGCACAGTCGAATGAGTGTCGGCCAGTTTCCAGAGTCAGGAAGTCCAACCTTGTCCGACCTCGTTGACTCGGAGAAGGGAGCCGCTCTTCACAGCACACCAGATCGCAGCAACACTCCACGGCACCATGGGTGATGCCTACCGCAAATAGGGACGTCCCTTCCGACGGACGGCAGGCCCACTCGGTGGAGCCACACGGTAGGGCAAACGGAAGGAATGGGGCCGCAAAGTGGGAAAGCCAAGACCGGGGAAGCGACAGGCCCTCCCCTGCCTTCCGTTTGCTTGTCCGGGTTGGCGCGCCGTGGTGGGTAAACATCTGCCAGAAGAGAAGACCGCATGACTTGGGCAGAGAGGTCCAATGTATGGGAAGAGCATGACGACCAGAGTCATGAAAAACGAGAGTGACGGGTGAACGGGCGGCCATCTCTTTACCGGACGAGAGTAGGGCGTGGAATCGCTCTCTGTGCAGCTCTCCAAGAAAAAGAAAAAAAACGGCCCGAGTCTCGAATTCCTGAGCTTCTTATTTTTGGTTTTTTCACCATGTTTTCCATCGCGAAGCCTCCGTATTGGTGAGAATATGACAAGGTTCTGGTCAACGTCAAAGGCACCGGCCGGTCACTCACTCAACCCCACGTGTGTGAAAGGGGGTGTTTGGATCCTTCCGCTGCTGCGCATAAAACAGACGTACCGGAAGGGGCATGTACGTCCAGTCCGAGAGATACAAACTCCGTAGATTGGATGGAGACACAGATTGATAAGGCCGAGAAACAAAAAAGGAAACACGTGGGAAGGGCGAGTACGAGATACCCGACGCCCGCGCGTACTGTGACGCATGGCGTCCCCGACCGTGCAGGCACACTCAGAATGACAAACAAAACGCATTTATATCTTTCAAGGTTCGTTGGAACAGCCGTAGAAGCCCGTTCGGCAGATGTAGAAAGAATACACACCAAGACGTATTTAGAGAGATTGGTGGTGTTGGCTGGCCGGGATATAGCACACACGTGTGAACTGAGGATGGGTGGCGGCGGATCCGCATACCGTGCAGTAGTCTCAGGCCGTGGCGGCGGCTCTTGAGGCTCAGGCAAATCAGGTTGCAGAGGGCAAAACTCAGTTCGTTGAGTATGAGATTGTTCAGATTGAGGTTCGATGTGGCGACTGGCACAGACACGACGAACGCTCACGAGATGACAGAGACACGAGGCGTGTTTTTGAAGCTTTGTTTTCCATGGAATTCTCTGCCTGCTGCTAATGCCTGTAGAGTAACATGGCGGATCGCCAATCCGCTACAGTCCTGTTGAATTTCGTCCCTGCTGTGGTAAACCCCGTGTCTTGTCAACCCCTGATTTTCCCTGATATCGCCGTCTTCGTATGAACAGTAACTGAGAATCCCATTTCTCCAGTAAAATAGCAAGCCCCTCTTGATAAACACCGAAATAATATCATCCCATGAGCCGTGGAGAGTCGTCATTGCCGGATGCCCTCGTGTATACCAAAACCGCATCCAATACCTTCCCGTCGTTCAATAGACCCGTGTATGTAAAAGAAAAACAGGACATCTGGCCCCTGTTGAGCTGATCGTGTCGTGATATCAATGCAAACAAATGACTCCCGTAAGTCTTTCGTCCTAGAACCCCCGTGAGGGCAGTCCGATCCCGGTACATGAAAAGAAAAATAAAACCGTTGCGCCGTAGATGTGGTGTGTACGTTGATCCGTTTCGCGCCGTAGGAATCCCTGGATATAATGCCGCCTGTCAAAAACAAAAGCAGTCGAAATGCCCTTTTTGGAAGATTCCCTCGTCAACGCTTGCCGGCCGTGATTTTCGTCCGCGAATTCCTCCCATACACATCGTACTCTCTCGGCTCCTGCTCGCTCGGCGGACGAGACGCGTTTGATGATGCCGTGTACCCATCCTCGATTTGCATCTCCTCGAAGAGAGCCGGCCCCGGTTTCGACTCGCGCCTAATCGTCGTCGTCACCATTACTCCGCCGTTCGATCCCGCAGACGACGCCTTTCGACTTCTTTCCACCTCGCTCGATGTCTTGTCGCTGTTGGCGCAGTCAGAGCGGGCGCTGCTGTCGAGCGAGATCTCGCCAATGTCGTGCAGCACATGCTTCTGGCTCGGAGCGATGTGCGGCGAGTACTGGCCTTCCGGGCCGTGACGGAACTCGTCGCCGCCGAAGGGGTTCTGGTCGTTGCTATGTGAGACCCCAGAGGAGCCTTGCGTGGCAGCGTTATCCTTGGAGGTCACCCATTGGACGACCACAGCGGAGAAGAGGACTGCACATGGGTCAGCGGAAAGGCGGCAGGGACATGGGGAGGAGGGCGGCATACTATCGCTGTTGCAGCACATGAGGCAAACCCAGCCGGGCTCACCGTTAAGGACCATTAATACGGTCAGGTTCCTGGAGCGAGTCAGAAACTTTGAGCTTAAATCTTACGTTCTGCCCAACTTACACAATGCTGCTGGTCAACGTGCACAGGGCACCGATGAAAGTCCGCAGCGCGACTGTCCTCAAGCGCACGTTGGCTGGCGTCTTGGGGAAGTGTTTGAAAGAGTAGAGACCTTGGTCGATGTTAGTCGTTGATCACGATGAGCGCGGGCTGTGGCTTACTCTTGAGAGGGATGAGGAAGAGGATGGTAAGGTAGATGTTGACGACGGCGTCAAAGGAGATGAGAGGGATCATCGAGACCTTCTGCATTCCGATGTAGCACTGCCCGTCATCTATCCGTGTAATTCGGCTGTGTCACTGTCAGTTGTAGTCCACGCTTCTCGGACGGGTTGCCGTACAAGATGAAGTTCAAGATGGCAATGACGGCATATACGCCAAGCATGCCAAACGAGTTGAAGATGTAGAGCTTCGACTTGAGGCGCGGCTTCGTCCCTCGGATAATATGCTTCGCGAATCGTCAGCACCGACTGCGCAGTTCTTCTGCGGGACCCAAATACGCACTGCTTTTTCGACCAGAAACAGGTAGATCAGCACCTTCGTCGTAATGTAGCACACGAGGCATAGTAAAATAGCGCCGTCGCAAATCTGGATGTTCGTGTTCACGCCGAGGGCGAACTGCAGAACCGCGGTGACGAATACGAACAGGTATGAATCGAGGTAGACAAATAGCACCACTGGAGAACGTCGTCAGTATCCCTGACCTGCCACCGCATGCCGTCGAGTGGTCCAACTTACACCACACCACGAATGGCATCCTCTTCCACTGTTTTAATGCTGCGCCTCTCTGAGCTGTGAAACCGTGTTAGCGAACCCGTCTTCGCCCCCACGCGTCCATCCCGTCGCGATCGACGTACCAATGAAGCCGGAGATGATACTGATGGAGACTAGGCAGATGATAACGCTCATGATCGTGCCCGCGAGGGGCTCTGTCGTGTGCAGCCCCGCGGGGTCTGCCCGGGGAAGCACCATGGGAGCCATCATGTCCCGAGATATCGTGTTCTCGTCGTGTGTCGTCGAAAAGGACGCGAGAAGATCCAGGGGATGTCGGTTTTTTGGGTCGTTTTCCGTGTCACGATCGTTCGGACATGAGAAGGCAGGGCCGCCGGGGAAGGGGGTGTAAAAGGACCCGGAAGAACTATATACGAAAGGCCAACCAGGAATCGCCAAAGGCAGGAGATCGACGGTTTGGGTGTCCGAGCTACCTTCGTCTCGCAATGTCTGGGAGGGGGACACAACCGTCTTTAAGTTTCGTCCAACAGGTGATCGAGGCGTACGTGCAGGGACAGACGGGGGAGAGGACAGGAAGCTAAGGTACGGTGCGGTACAGAGCAAGCCCAAAAAGCCAGTGCTTGCTACAAGGATGGAGGAAGAACCGATACGCTAGAGGCAAGGGGTGGGAAAGAGACTTGCAGGAGAAGTTGGGTCGGTTTGCAGGCTCGTCTTCTTGGGTTTTGGTCTCTTTTCCGCGCCTAGTTTGTAAGAGGGCGATGTCCGGGTGAATGGTCAGTAGTAAGACCCCAGCCCACTTAGCACGAGAAAAGGCGTTTCTGCTTGTTTTTTAGGTGGCAGCTAGTTGACTCGGAAGAATAGCCACGAGCCAAGACCTGCTAGTACGAATGGACGTTGGAACAGTCGACGGCGTGGAAAAAAGGGAAAATGGGCTATCGTATAGACACAACTCGAATAGCGGAGCAAGCCACAGGGAAGACGATTCCAAAGAAAGCTGCGATGTGTTCATGTGGAGAAAACGGTCTGTACACGGGCAGCTCGAGTACATGGACTGGATACTGAGAGATACCATGTAGAAGCTGGAGGGATACAAGGGAGAGTAGTGACGGCTCGGAGAAAGGAAGCGAGAGACACGTAGTAAAGCACCAGCCGCACACACATGAACGTAGGGGACGCCTTGCTTCGAAAAGCACAAACCGTAGGTTCAGTCCCTGACGATGGGGAAAAACGGTAAGGCAATGGGTAAAGCCATCCGTCGGGCACACTGCAGCACCCCAGACACCAAGTGACGACAGGAAACAACCTGCACAGAAAGGCTGTTTCGTCGCCAAGCTCATGTCATGGTGACGGGACGGGGAGGGGGGGAAGAGAGAACAGGGTAATTGAGTCGAGGTGGAGGGGCAAATCGTTACGAGAGATAAACTCTAATCCGATGTTAGTCCTCTCCTTCAGTCCTCTCTGCGTTTCTCGTATGCAGCAATCCGCGACAGGAAGGTCTATTTCACCGAAGCCGTGGTGGTGGATGGCCAGCTTGATTTGGTTGCTTAGTGTGTGAAGCTGACCGGGAGGGCGAGAGCTGCTCCCAGATAGAGCTGTGAGGTTCTGCAACGGAGGACAGGGAACCATGGTCGAGCCCGGCCGTAGATCCCGCCCTCGAACCAACCAGCGTAATTCAACATCGACAAACCTCTGGGCTAAATCATCGAAAGACCCAATTGTTCGCCCTATCTCGCCTGAAGCAACTTAAAGACTGATGATCTTGTTCGCGTTTTGCACGACCCGGCTTCACCGTCTGTCCACCATCCTTGACCAGTCTGACTGGGGATAAAGTGCGGACTTTTCGCACTAATTAGCACTCTGTGGTTCGCATCACCAGCGGGCCGCCACGACTAGAAACCTAGATGTCGAGTAGCTTGGACCCTTCTAATGCTGCCTCCGAGCGCCTCTGACAATCGAGGCACGCAGCGTAGACGCAGCAGCTGCACATACCATCTAGTCCGTGACACACGGGACGCCTCGTAGTCCTGGGTCTTGGTGCTTTTTGTCCCTTCGCGACACAGCATGTCGACGGCATTTCGCGGTTGCGCAGTGTAATGAGGTTTGCGACAAAGAACACCGCAGTCGCGGGATCTATCGCGGAACAGCCGCCAAGGTTCGACGACAAAACCTGGGGGTAAGGGATCGATCAGCGTAGCCGCCTCCTAGCTAAGGAATTGATCGTTCCCGACGCGGATGGATGTGAGACCTCGTGGCGCGCGTTATCCGGGCTCGTCGAGACAGCCCAAAACGGGACATTGTAACCGCCTGGCCACTTAGACTCGCTGCAGTCGCCGATAAAGCCGATTGATAACGACCTTCAGCCGACGGTGACCTCACTCGTCCAAAATGTCGCCCGGGACATGAAAATCCAAAATAGTAGGTTCGCGAGTCAAATCTGTCAAAGGGTTAAATGACCAGAAATATCGACGGCGGAGCAAGAATAAGAGATGGATGGAAGAAAGTGGCAGTGCGCCGGCCGAAGAGAATGTCTCGCGGATTTCTCGTCGCCTCCGAGACTCCCTCTAGAATTATCCTTCTTGCTAATTCGTTCCAAAAAGGCCATGCTGCCGGTGCGCAATCGATTTAGCGTTGGGGTGAGAACTCTTCCGCGATGTGTGGTGTTTCTTGCTTCGAGTCTGTGGGTGGGCGGGCAGACAGGCGGGCAATCGTGCATCGTGGCCGCGATCTAGAGTTCGGTCGACCGTTTGAGCTGTAATCATCCGGCATTGTCAGCCAGCGAGAGACCCTTCAAACATGCCTGCTCTTGAGGCGCCCTAGATGCCCTACTACGCAGTAGATACGCCTCACGCTTCTTCTGTGCCAACCGTCAGCCTTTCGTGGAACATCATGCGCGCGGCGCCATGTCGAGGCATGTCGAGGTGGCATGGAGACAAGCCAAGTAAAACGTCCCAAGAGGTTGCGTAGATGAGGCTTCGACCGGTGCGGCTGACCTGCCATAGCACCACTGGCGAACTGCTTGGAGGCACGAAGGGTTTTCTTCCCGCACCCGCGCGCCCTCAGCCAAGGGGTCGAGCGCTGTCGCTGGCATCCAGATGGCAGCCAGCTAGCCAGCCGCGGTGACGGTAGGGAGATCTTGGTGAGATCTCGGAGGTCTCCGGGGCTAAAAAGCTACGGATGTCGCAATGGCCGCCCTGGAGGGAAAGGCATCTACCGCAAAGTAATTGTGTGCTGCGTATGATATTCGTCCAGTCTTGTTGTGCAACCGGACGCCTTCCCCGTGCTGAGACTTTTCATAAAGCGCGGTCCAGGAGTGAGAGTGGCTGAGAGAAGTGGTTGCCGGCCGGAATATCGTAGGGAGGAACGGCTCCGACGCCATCTTGTTTGCCATCCGCCATGGCTTCGTCGGGTCTCGAGCGCATCTCGTACCGTCTGTACGTCAGACTGCCTGCCCGCTGCTTGCTTGCCTGCCTGCTTGTTTGCCTGCCTGCCTGCCTGGGAGCTTTTTCTCCCGCGGAGATATTGGTGCGGCGCTTGACCCCTTCGTAAATGCAGCATCTTCGTGCGTGTAGCGGCAGTCACGGACGAGCAGAAGAACAGGCCTGCCGTCCCAGAAACGACGCCCGAGCTGAGGTTGCATTCTGCCAGCTGCCCATCATGCACTCGAGGCGGTGAAGATGAGGCAGGTGGTGTGCCAACATTCGTATGCAATCCGACCCCTAATTGCGACGGTACTCGCACCGCGGCTGCCGTTGCCGACAGATAACCGAAAAGGAAAGAGGCGTAGAAAGAGACCAGCGTCACGAGATGTGTGGGAGGTGTGCCAAGAACGCCATATTCCAAGCCCCAGGTATCAGGGAAAGACGCACCTGCTGTCAGCGAATGGTGGAGAAGGAAGCTCGGTTATTGGACAATTGCGCACAAGGAGATCCAGAAAGTACCCGCTTCCAACTGGATACAGCGCAGGGTCCGAACCTTAGTTTGATCTCGTAGCCACGGAAGAACGAACCTCCATCGTTCCGACGACTAAGCAACCAATGACGGCAGGATCTACGGCCCCGCCCAAGATGTGAGCGCATCTCCGAGACCGAAGCCGGACCACACGGACCTGCCACACGGAAATAGGGGACCGTGCGCGTGCTTTCCCCGGATGGAAGGGGCTCTCCACCCACATGATTAGATCCGCAAGCCTCCCATTATTGCGATGTCATCACCGTTCAGCCACACACGGCAAGCCACGCCCGGTGAGTAGTTCACGATGCTCCAAGGTAGGTAGCTTGATTCAGTTCCAGGGTTTTGTCACAGACGCCATACTAATTCCATCGCTAGCTCGACCGTCTAATCACGTATTCCGCTAGAAACAAAACGCCTGGTTTTCGGCATTCTAGTTTATTACGTACAACGCCGTCGCCGTGAAAGTCCCCCCTTTTTCATTCAAATGCCAAGTTATTCTGATGCGACACGGAATGTTCATGACCCAGAAGAGATCACCGGGCCGTCTCTGGGCGATCGACATCTAGTTGGGTCGTTTATTCGGATGGTCCCGTGTCTGAGACCCTGCCTTCCTCTTCGCCGGGGCCACCAGGGACCTGTCTCATTCACGGAGATCACCCCTGGGCAATCTCCAAGACGCCCTCACGTGCTCTGGCTACGAGCCTATATGGACTAGACTGGGAAACGCAACGCGCGTAACGTGTGGGAGAAGCAGCCATACCCCCTAGCCGGAGCCTGACAGAACGCTGGATGAACGAATGGAATCGAGGAGGACGGAGCCCATTGACGCTTCGATCGCGACCTCCTTTGACCTCCGAGACACCCGCGCCTTAGTTCCCGCCGAGAGCTGGTTTGCACAACTGCCGCGATTCTTCGCTGTCGCTGATTGAGAGCAAGTGGTCGGGTAGATTACGACCGTAATCGTGGAAACAAGAGGCTCGCCCAGGGACACTCTCGGGTAGCAGGACTTTCACGAGACGGTCCACAGACAAAACTAAGCAGCCTCCTTCAAAGGCACCTCTGACGATTCAAAGCAGGCAGGATGTATGGGGAAATAAGTCACGATCTTCGGCATCGATCCTAGACGACCGGACCTTCGCATCCACCAGCCCGTTCGCTCCTGCCAAGAAACAGAGATCATAATCAGCATCGCATAGCAAGTCACTTGTGATATATTTTCACATAGAAAGTACTAGTGTACGAAAGAAAACCATTCTTTGGAACGCAATAGTTCAATTCTTGGATATAACCGATACCCAACCTCCACCTGATCTCGTCGTGAATCGAATGCTCTTCCCCTGAGTACAACTCACCAGCCACCCTAAGCAAACAACTCCAAAGCCTCCTCCCCTTCCATCCCGCCCCTCCACGGCAGGCATTCCTTCGAGGGCCCAAGGACGGCACAGCAAACCGGGCTCGAAATCCCCTCCCTGCCCCGCCGCCGCCGCCGCCCAGACAACAAAAGACACACCATCACTCAAAAGCGCTAGCGGGCTTCCTCCAAAGACTTTTGGAATCTTCCTGGAAGAAGAGAACAAACACCTCCCGCTCCTTCGCCGCTCCTTTGGCCAAAACGCCGGCCGGGAAGGATTGGCCGGCCACATCGCGCCTCGCCGCGCCTAGCGGCTTGTCTGTCGTTCTTGGCGTTTCTCCATTCGTGGACGAACAATTACTCAGAAGCTGGAACGCGATGCCGACTGCCAAGATCACATCACCGCCGCTAGTCGAGTCAGGTAATGCAAATTGTCATTCACGTAAGTCTAGCTATGTGTCTCCCCCCTGTGAATGCCACCATAGTCTTGCTTGCTTCGTGATCAGTCGTGGATAATGGTTCCTGGCCCTCTATATCGGCCTCTGTTTCCTCGTTTGCCCGTGGCGAAGTGTCCCTGAATGATATAACCCTATGCTGAGAATGCTCAAACACCAGTCCACCGTATATACAGTCACCTTCCTCCACGGTCGAAAGTATTAGGGCTCGCCAGTGGCACAGTCCGCCATGATGTCGTATCCGCTAAACGCCGTGTAATGCTGTGTGTGTGTGCCAGTGTGTTTTCGTTCCTGTAACGCCAATTTCTATCCGCCGGATAGTGAAAAAGGGACCTTGTCCGCTTGCCAGCGTCAGCAAGGTCCTTGAATCATCAATACGTGTCGACATGCTGTTTTCGTTGTCGCTCTCGGCCTCGTCGGCCTCATCTCAGGCCCAACGTTGTGGCCATCGCCGTCGTCTGTTACGTGGCTCGGTTGTGCATACCGCTCAAGACTGCGGTCCCGTCCGAATGCGGAACTTGTCGCGTAATTTGTCGGCCAACCTCGCTCTGCGGCTCCTCTCATCGGGCGCGCTGCTCGCTCCCTCGGCAGCGTCCTGGCCTTGCTGCTGTGTTCTATACTGACGAAGGACCTGGATGCGCTCCTCGGCCGAAGCGTGCCTCAACCTGTTGAGGTCAAACAACCGGGTCCGCCGTCTCTGCGCTGTTGTCGAAGACCCGTCACTTTCGTGTCCGTCGAGGTCCAGCGGAGGCGGAAGCTCCTCGCTTGCGTCGTTGGTCTCCTCGCCCTGGGGTCGAAGATCGAGACGGCTGGGCATTGTTAGTGAGATTCAATATCTTCTGGAGTCGTTCACTTACCAGAGCGGACACGTGCCCGAAACGTTGACCAGCCATGGGTCAACACAGTTGGGGTGGAACTTGTGATTACAAGGCAGCACACGGACGTCTTCGCCGACAGTGAAGTCCTCCGTGCAGATGGAGCAGCCAAGGTTCTCTTCTTGGCCCTCAGTAGGATTATCAGAGCCTGCCGTCTTTGCGGCGGTCGTGGCAGCGGCCGCGCCTACCGCACCTGTTGCCTCTGGGGCTACGGCAGCCGTCGTCGTTGCTGCCGCACTCTTTGTGTTTACGGGGACAGTATCCTGCTGTCTAGATTCGCCGCGACTCTCAATGCCCCTCTCATTCGTGTGAGCGATCGACGCGCTCTCCAGTTCTATGTTCGGATCCGGCTTCGCGATACCCTCCTGGCGCTCGCCAAACTTGACGATGGGCAGAGTGTCCAGAACGGCACGAGCAAGGCCCTTCGCACGGCTTTGGCGTGGACGGCCGTTGAACGCGCTCCGTGGACCGTACCTCTCGGGGTATCGATGGGCCCTGACGGCACCAGTGGCGATGATGATCAAGAAGAGCAGCGTGATGAGACCCGTTATGCTGTAAAGGATGCTCATGGCGACCGCTGAGTTGTTACCACCTCCGCCATTTCCGCCGTCGCGACCGTCGGACGTCGTGTTTCCCGTGATGGTGACCTTGATTTCGTCCACCTCATTCGTACCGTTGAGAATGTGCAGGGCTTGCGACGCGTCTCCGGCGTCTGCCATTGTGAAGATTGAGTCGAACGGGTGATCGCCGGCCAACGAGCACCAGTTTCCCACAGTGCTGTACAAGACAATGGCCTTTGGCTTATTCTCCATAAGAGTGCCCAGCATCATGTTCGGTTGGATGAAGCCGCTGCCATCGGTGGTGTCGCAGGATAGGTACGCGATTTGGTTTCCATTGATCGAGTTGTAGTTTGACGACGTGGCGGAGACCATGGTCCCCTCGATTCTGATTGACTGCAATAGCGTTAGTGATGTCGCCGAGCCAGACGATATGCCAGGATGATTCATACCCCGCGAACCACGTCGGACTGGTTGAGACCCAGGTTTTGTGTCGAGGGCATGATTATGAACGTCAAAGGCAAGACGTCGCCGCCGGCAGACGCCAGCATCAGCTGCATGGCCGAATTTTTGAGCCACGAAGGGATTTCGTCCTGGGCCGAGATCGTGGCAGCGTGAGCCGTGCCGAAGACGGCAGCGGCGCAGGCCAGGCCGCGCAGCAGCGAACGAGTCATCTTTCCTCGCCGCGGCCTCGCGCTCTTACTCTCTCTCTCGCTCACGTTCGCGCGGCGGTCGACGTCGCTTGCTGCGGACGGAGGAAAAGAAGAAGGGGATTTCGGATGACAGGAGGTCGATGATCGAGGTCGGAAAGCCGATTCGACACGGAAGCCAGATTGAGGAAAAGTGGGAACGGTCTAGGCGGACAAAGGGACGGGCGACGATGGAGGAAGCGCAGCGCGGGAGGGCATGCAGCGCGGTGGGAAGCGGTCGGTGCAGGTAGGACGGGTGGTGGTCGGATTCGCTCGCTACACAGACTGGATGGAGTTGATAGTCGGGATGGGGGGATTGGCGTGTCACATCCCCTCGGAACCGTCAATATCAGATGGACATGTTCCTAAGTGGATTTGCGCTTGGTTTTGATCGTCGCGGCGGGGTGTGATGCGCCGGATGGACAGACGAGCGGTTGGGTGTCGTCGAACGGAAGCGGCGGCGGTTGGATCGCTTTCTCGGCGCACTCTCGTGATGATGTCGTTGAGAAAGGTTGGCCGATAGGAACGGCCGGGTCGGAGGTTGAAATGGTGATGAGTGGTAGTGGTCGTGGTGGTGTGGTAGTCGAAGGAGGCGGGAGGGCAGCAGACAAAAGTGACCGGAAGGGATGGGAACGGTAGTGGCGGCAAGCGCAGCACACACGAGGTACTTTGCTCTCTGGTGGTCGAAGGCAGGGAGAGCCAGGTATCGCACTTCAGCGGAGGATGTGCGAGTGCCAAGACGAATGTGGAGGAAGTGACGGCGGAGGTCAGTCTCAGTCGCAGCGACACAGGCCACTGGCGAGCCCGGGAGGTCTGGTCAGCTGCAGCAGGACGGGGATGCCACCCGGGCGAGTTAAGAGCGCGCTTCAACGGCGTCCACCTCAGTGTGTGATAAGGCACGCAGCACGGCAGTCTCTCTGCAGAAAGATGCTGACGACGACTACGACGCTATCGTAGGTAGGTAACTACACAGACGACAAATGACAGAGCCGCAAGGAGAAGAACCGATGCAGTAAGGTAGCAGCAGACGGGGAGGCTTTACTTCTAGATGCAGTCATTCATCTCTCTCATTCATCCCCATAGCGTATCCCTACCACATCTCACTATGCCGTCCGTTAAGGCACCTTAACTCACACATCGAGACCTGAGATGAACCTGGTCCGGTTCCCAGGCGCCTGCTTACCCGTGCAAGGAAGGCGGTAAACTCAGCAGTCAATTGTGCTTTCTCCTTCTTATTCGCTTGCATCTTACTGGTTTGGAGGCCTCGCTTCTGCCTGGGGAATTGCAACTCAGTTTTGCCGCGGGAATACTGCCGTGCGGATACCTCGCCTACGAGCCAAGGTAGAGAGAGAGCAGAGGTACCCGCACAGCTAAAACCCGGCGGGGAGGTACTTCGAAACCGCGAGGAATGCGAGACGCTGCCGTGATCACCATGAGCCTCTGGCAGGTTCCAGGCTTCGAATGCCTTCCTAGGCAGGTGGACCTCGCCTCGATGGATAAATGTGCCGTGCCGTGTCTGTCGCCCGCCCGCCAAACGGAAAATCCGTGAAAAAAGTCTCCGAAGGCGGGCAGTGAAACTTGTTCGAAGTACAGTGAGCCGTTAAGCGCGAGGTTTCTGATGCTTTGCTTGTTATTTTCCCGAAAAAACGGCAACATCTGGCGATTTTTTCTTGTGAGAGGTCTGGAACCGGAACCACTCTGAATCAAAGGCCAGGTCTAGGCATTCGTTAAGCTCAGAGTCATTGTGTCGTTTTGCATCTCTTCCAGCCAACTTTGACTTTGATGAATCCGACGACATGCAGCATCACATCTCGTTGATCACCCACGTAAATCTAGATCATCAGCAGAATAATCGCGCCATATCAGACCCGATAACCAAATACAACATGACAGCACATCAACACAGCCGCACCCAACCTGGTCATCAATCCGTCTCCCGGGCGAATACGAGACGTGTCGGAAGAGCCTCATGCCCCGACAACACGGAGAACGGCTATCGGGTCCTGACCGAAGCAACTCCCTGGCCCCCTTCCCTCTCATCACCAAAGACGACGCGCTTAAATTCCAATGTTATTACGATGTGTTGTTGGTGTGGCAGGACTTGAGGCTGGCCCCCCTCCGAGCCTCAAAATGCTTCCACTCGAGAGCCCGGCACTGATCGCTGACGCATCTGATGCGACCGTTGGACCCGGTCTTGGCGGGTTTTTCGAGACTCGCCCTGTGACATGTTCAATGGGTTTCCGAACTGAGGCGATACTCACGGCCCCCCCTTCCCTTCCCTTCCCACCTCGGGCGGAAAAAAAAAGACACAGACAGATCTTTCTCCATATTCAGCCCACGGCATCAACGACCTGCAGTCCCTTGATCCATGACATCAAAACCACATCCCCGCCATCCCGTCCGTTCCCTTGTCACAACCGGGGTCGACTCCCCTTCGGCTTTTCCTGAGGTTGGGTGGGTGAGTGGCCAACTGTATGAGAAAGCGAACGTGTTCTGTATGCGGTAGATTGTGGCCCCCAGCTGAGCACCAGCGATCGCGAACCTCCGACCACGCTGAGACGGCGAGCCCCGTTTGAGCGCAACTCAAACGCGATAGAGCTCAATGCTATATTGCACCAACCCGCCAGTTCTCTCCCACGCGCGCTTCAGTTCGTTCATGGGTGATGGCCCCCCCCCCTTCTCACCTTTTTGCTGGCTGTCCTCACTGAAGCACCCTCGATTCTGCGTTGCTTCCTCATGGCTCATCCCAACCGCCAGTCATCACCACGACTCGCACGACGAACAACAGGCACCATCCTCCATCACAGCCGCCTCCTTTTCAATTCCACACACCGCTGGTGTCGCTTGTCGCTATTAACAGAACAATCCCCACCAGCCATGCGCGCGGCAAAAAGAGAATTGACACCGACAAAACGACGATTCCGATCGGGTTGAACCCTCGAACCAAAGTTGCCTCTTCGGCAGTTCGGAACCGCCTTCAAGGACCAACCATAACCACATGAACCGGTATGACTTGTGATACAGTTCGGTCGGATCACGTCCACGGCCACTATCCAGACTTGATTCGGGCTAGGCCCAGAGTCTCTTGACTGCTAGAGTTCAAAACATCAGGTGATGTCGGGCCTCCGGTCGGCTCGGAGGCGCGGGCGTCGTCTGTCGAAAACGGCTTCCTCGGCTTGCTGCTGATTATTATCGTGAACCCGTCGCACTCGTCCTCCGCGTGGCTTGCCTCGTGCTGCCACTTCTTGCTGAGTTTTCCCCATCGCCAGCACCCCTCGCTGCGCATCTCTCGGGGACTCCATCGACGCCGAGCCGAGAAAACACATGATCTAGAATTCGTGGGCGTCCGCGTGGTTGAGTTCGGCCGAATCCCATGTCACGATGCTGCCATCGGTGAGCCTCTTCCGAGCTTGTGCGATCAGCAAAACCCTCGAGTCGCCTCTTCGCCCAGCTCCAGGGCCCGAAGTGCCCGTCTTCAGCATGCAAATGTCTCGCCATCTCCCCGAGGCACAAAAACTCTTACCCCTTACCCCAACTCTGTCTCCCACTTGTCGACCAGCAAGCCCGGCTTTCCTCTCGGCATGCGGGTTACTGGGCTGTTCCCCGTTGCGGCATCAAGAACAGAACAAAAAAAGGACAGCAAACCCTCATTGTCAAACAGCCGGACCCCGGTGTTCTTAGACGCCGCCCCGGCACCCACCTCCGATGTCAAACTTCGAATTGCAAGCTTCGTTCGTCATACCAAAGACGAACTCTGGACGATTCGGTAGGGATGGGGGACGAAAACGCTGTCTCAACTCTCCAACTGACAACATAGCCTTTGCCGTTGCATTATCTGCATTGATCTCACGAGCGCCCTGATGCGCTCTACTCGTCCATCATCGGACAAGTTGACGAACGCCACGCCAATGCAAACATTGTTTTCCTTCTCCCGCCCTCCCATTCGGCTGCTTCGGAACTTTCTTCGCGTCTTTGCTTGGTGATCGACCATTGTTCAGTCTCAGATGCCAAACTCGTGCTCCACGCCACACGCTGAGAAATCCATCTTCCCATCTCCTGCCATCTCAGGACATTTCCATGATGACTCGGATAGGGATCCCTGGCGCCACGTAGATCTGATAGGCGATCGTGGTTGATATCCACTGCCACTTTTGACTGCGGCCAAGCAGATACGAATATGTGAATCTGCGGTGTCATAAGTAAATAGAGCAACTTGACGAGACGTGTTCGCTTTTCAGCCGCATGCCGCGTTTATGGCCTTCGCTGAACCTGGACGTGCTCATAGCTCAGACACATCTTGTGTCTGAGGAGCTGCTCATCCCAGATCCTTGACTGCTGTTCAGGATTCACACCACCGTCCTTTCCCCAGACAGATCCCGTCTCTTAGCCGCTCCCCAGGCTGAGCCGCAAGAAACTCCCAGCACGAAGTCGGCACTTGCCTGTCATTCATGCTCTCCAAACCATAGTACTCGACCCAAAGTTGGAGAATCGAGTATGGTTGCCCGACATTGATCATGATGCTGGTCTTTCTTATGCTCGGTCTCGACGCAAGCTTTTCTTGGTAGCCTCTCCCACACCCCACAAACTCTTTCGTGCTCGTCTCCTCATTCTTTACCTTTGGCCCATCCTCAGAAGTTCAGGCACCGAGAACGAGTTTCTTTGCTTCTTGCCACGATCGAGTCACGTCGAGGGGACGGACCCTGCGTAATGAAGTCATTACCGAAACGCGGTGTTGTAATGTTTCGACGGTTAGAGACAGAGAAGCTCTCTGGAAAGGAATTCCCGTCATCATCTACGTTTGTTAGCGCAAAGTAGACCATCCCAGCTCCAGTCTCCGGGAAACGTCGTGGGAGGCCCGCAAGGAGGAGCGGCTCGCCGAATGGCATTCCGTAAACCACTGTTTCTGGCGAGTCTTCATCGGCGCGCGTTGCCGTCATACCCCGACGAAATCCGGCATGCAGCCCGCGAGCTTGCTGAACGCGTGATGATTCGTCCGACCCTACGAATCGTCAGTCTTGAAATGGTGGGCGTTCGCCAATCGCTCCCGGGTTTCGGACGTCAAAACCAGTGATGGGCATTGTGCGCATCGACCTGGCTCGGGAAGCAGCCGGTCGCAGAGCCAGGCTGTTCTTATGCCGCCGGGTCCGAGTCGGAAACTCTCTGCCCGGCGGGAACGAGAGTTGGTTCGTCAAACCCAGTACATCAGGTCTGATCTTGGGGAGGAGAAACGAACCATACCAGGTAGCCGGTTCATCTGAATGTGCGCCGAAAACAGGAGAAAGCATCGAGTCCTCGAGGAAACCATGGCTTTGGACATCGTCTGATATCGCTGACACAGGTTTGGTCTGGTCGTCGACTCAAATTGTCAAGCCTATCGTCTTGCACACACGGCGATGGACTCGAAATGGGAAAAAGCATCGAAATTGTCTTTACTGCGTCGACGCCCCTTTAACGGTCCTTGGTCAGTGTTTTCTGCGAACAACATGGGATATTCGATCAATGCATGACCGAACTTCCACGTTCGCGTTCGTCTGAAGCCTGCGTTCGGACTTGGGCTGGGGAATGTTCCAGAGAAGAAATGGGGTTCGTTGTTCTCGTCTAGCCTCGCGACCACCTGGTCTGGTCTTTCCCATGGACTCCAAAACGCGGCAGCGTTGGCGCCGAGAGAGCGCCTCCTTAGATCTCCTCCATGTCTTCCAAGTCATCCAGGACCGGCCAGTCGCCAACCTCAACCCGCTCGGGCCTCACGAAAACACCATGCTTCAAGGTTGACTTCTCGCCCCAGTACCGAGTTCCCTCGATGCTGCCGTCGTTCTTTCCAACGGGTTCGTCGAGGTGAATTCCGACCCAGGGACCCAGGCCGCCCGGGATCTCCTTGACGTCGCCGACGTACTTGACGACACCTCTGCGGGAATCCTCGCCGCCTACTCGACACCGCTTGCCGACCTCGATGCCCCGCTGCTCAATCTCTTGATAGAGAGCCGCAACCTTGGCCTGTTCGAGGCTTGGCGCGTCAGGATCGAACCGACCGAGCTTCTGAGCCTTCTTCCAGGCCAGTACGGAGTCGGTCTTCTTGGCGTACTCCTCCTCCGGCATGACATACTTCTCAACACCCGTAGTGTCCGTGAAGTTTGGACGCGCCCCTGCCGGTCGCGTGTCGGCGACCTAAAGACGGGTTTGTCAGCCAAAAGAAATTTGTAAGAGGGTTGACACGAAGCATCACCCTAGGAGGCCTCAATGTGAGAAGAGAGGCTTGGGCGATGACATTGCAGCCTCACCCCCCATCATTGGATATGTGAGGCGGCCGGCCATGAGCGCCTCCTCGGAGGCAGTGGCGATGCCATCCTGCCGTGGTGATGCGCCAGCGAGCCGCCACAGGCGAGCGGAAGGGATATGTGGGTAAGAGAGGTAGGAAACAGGCCTACTTACATGCAGCTCGGCATACGGGGCGAGCGGGAAAGCTGTCAATCGTGCGTTGTCCTCATCGGCCGCCTCAATCGGAATGCTCGCCGAAGCCGTCTTGAGGCTGATTCTCTGGGACGAAGGCGGGACGCCCGTGATGGGCTCCAGCTTAGACCGCAGCTGGGTAATGGTCCATGATGGGGTGATACGACGCTCTGACGACGAGTTTTCCGAAATGACTTGCAGAGGAACGTCGGCCATGGCGGATGACTTGCTCTGGTTTCTGGATCCGGGTGGAATGGAATTCGGACCAAACGGTCTGCTGCAAGGAACACGTGGGGAGGGTGAAGTTCCTTGGACGTTCTGGTCTGTGGTCCCGGTGGTGAGAAGGCGGGATTTGGTCAAGAGATGCTGCCGAGCGTTGCGACGGTACGACAGGGTCCAGGAACCAGGCGTCTTGGGTGTCAACCGGACAATTATCTCGTTGGCTCAGGAAGGAGCAATGCACAATAGGGCTGGATAGTCCCGTCGTATGCAAGTCAGACGCACGACCCAGTCGGTTGTTGGGCTGCTCTAGGGAAATTTAGGTCAGAACCTTTGCCACAGACGATGGCACGCAGGGTTCTCGCAAGTTCCTTGGACGATGACGTTGGGTGGTGTTGCAAAGCGCGTCTCCGGTCAGGTCGGGCTCCAGGAGTTGACGAGGTGTGGTTGAGTTGTCGTGTGCCTGAAATGACTTGAGATGGGCGAAAATCGGTCGAGAACGTGGAGGCCGTTCAAGCCTCACTTACCAGGAAGTGGGTAAGGGAGGGGCGTAGATCTAGCGCGTGCCTTCCATTCACATTGGCGCAGACCCCCAGCGTCAGCCCCACCCATTAGGTCAGGCTCCAGCCACAGCGGGTACGTACTTTTCTTCGCTGTCCGCCCCCAAAAGATACGTTCCTCTGCCATGATGACTTGTCAAACCACCCGCACTTCACCTTTCTCTTCCTCACCCGACCTCTGCCTTGTACACCGCCATATGACAACCATCAGCGCAGGAAAGGAACAGGAACAAAAACGACACGCAACTGCGGCACACCAGCCATTGGCGGGTATCTGAACCTGAGTCCGCCTTGCTTCGTCACCTCCATGGTCCTGCCCGGCAGCACCTGGACGCCAATGTGAAGCTGGGTCATCCACGATACGACGAGATCGAAACATGTCAACCCGGTTCATCAGCTACGGTAAACTCGTCCCGCGAAAATAAGAATCTGGCTTTGTGACACGGTCACACAAGAATCAGGCGCGGCCGTCCGAGACCGCTTCAGACCAGTTTAACCTTTGGCCGGCGGGAACAATACCATTGACAATGATTGGCGAGTCTCCGTTTGCAGATAACAATCTACGGGAACCGTTTGGTCGGGAAGCACAACATGGCATCAGCGGCATCGATGCAGTCAAACGCCAGATTTCGCGCATGCAAAACCCCGTCTGGTCTGCCTTTGTCTGACGACTCAATTCGGGCTCGCCTACGCCTGTGCAGCATCATCAACCACCGGCGACAAACGGAAACAACGCGGCACTTGTGGGAGAGGCGAGGGTGGGTGGAATCGGGCAGAGGCATTGCATCCCACCACCATTCGGATACTACCAGAGAGCCCCTCGCGATCCTTCTCTTGTGTGTGCATCCGGCCGGCAGCAACGACAAGCACCATCACAGTGCATATTCATCCATGATTTCGTCCCTAAAAGAGGCACCACCCTGCGTGCAGGACCGCCAAACAGGATCTAGCCAGTGAGAGGGCGCACAGCACAAACGGATAAGATGAAACATCCATGGTCATGTTCGTTGCAGAATCATGATAACCCACCCACACATCTGCGTAGCGCACATACACATCACCCTCGGGCCCATCTGGATGAGGCATGGGACACTCGCTCGCGGACGACGGGCACGGCAAGGAGCACGTTCTCTGCTCGACTCGGGATGGACAAACACTTTTGACGCGGAGCGCTTGCTTTTCCAGAACAATCCTTGCACCCTTCTTTTGAAGGAAAATCCTTCCTGATGTCTATGCGTTGTCGTCACAATTCTCGCGTCCGAACTCGACAACAGCCCTGAGGAATCACTATTATATTGGTTCTCACTGAACTATTGGAAAGGCCTAGGGAAGAAGGAATTCAGCATGTTCCGTCAGATTGTCAACCGCTGGCCGTCAGCTCAGGGCAGCTCAGCCCCAGGCGTCAGTGACAACTGCGAAATCCTTGGACGATGTTGATGCTCGATCCGTCACGGGCAAACCACCTCCACCACGCGCCAGATCTATCCTTGCTACCCGATCCGCCAGTGGGCTGCCGCTATGCCCAAGAAAGATCCGGTTCTGCAATGTTGGCTGCCGTTCACCGCCACGTTGGGTTCTCTTTGTGTCACCGACAATTCGTTGTTCTCGTCGAGTGGCGCGAATCCGATCTCTGGCTCTCATCCCGAGACGGGAGGAAACACTAGCAGCAGGCCGAAGAAGAACAAGAAGAACAAGAAGCGGAAGACGAGATGTTGTTTTGGTGAGGCCAGCTAGCAGCAGGCGGCATACGGATGACGACAGGGATATGCGGAGTGCACGTATCAGAGGAGCAGCATTTCTGCCCCGGAATTGCACGAGCTTCGCTCAACGCCCCCGCGCTGAACCCGCGCTGGGCAAATGGCCTCGCTGAACAATTGGCGATGCGCCCATCTGGACATGTCTGCCAATCTGTTCGTTCTCGCAGATCCCCTCATGACGTCGGCACCAGTCATGGCGCGGAACAACTGGTGAAGCAGCTCCGGGACAGGGATCTGGCAAGGCGCATAGCCAGCACAGCGCTTTTGGCTATATCACGTCGTATTAAGGTGGTCGGAAGACCTACCGACGACAAAGATGGAAGGCCTCTCGCCCGTTGTCACCCTGGCCCTTGTTTCCAATCTATTGCCAGACCACCATGTAAATGGTTGGAAAGTCTGGTGTTTCGCCTCGGTGATGGGATGAGAACTCCCCAGGGCTGGGTTCCCCTGAGACGACATGCCCTCTGCGCGAAGCCACGATGCAAGGCCAGCAAACGAATGAAAAATAATCGATGGAGCGGCGCAAGGAGATTTTCCAATGAGAATAATTTCTTTTAGACGCCAGCCCCGAAATGGGATGCAACCCCAGCCTAAGCAGTGCCTGGTGGATTGACAGGCGGCTGCTAATTACGTCGAGAGCTGTTTGATAGGCTCCCAGCTCTTTTGGCACCGCCAACGTGGAAAACGACACACATATGCTTCAGCTCACTTGACCTGCTTACTCGTTGACGACACGGCGGCGGCTGTGTTAGATGCCCGCAGGCCGCGCGCAGATTGCGGCTACCAAACCGCCAGAGACAGGGTTCACATTCGATGGCGGATCAGGTTACGATAAAAATGGCATTGTGAGGACGAGATTTGACCAGATCTGGGTGCTCCGCACTCAGCTCGGGTTCGCTCACCTTGTCGACGTGCAAACGAAAGACGAGACGACGACACGTGCGTACAGGCAGCGCCGTGTTCTCAATTGCTTTGTTCGGACAACGACAGGCCAAACATGCCGGGTCGCCCGGTGTCGGTGATCCGCCGTGTTGCTGCCGGGCCACTGGAGAGAGGTTGGACAGATGGGCCCCAAGTTCCGGCGTTTCTGGTCCCCGCGTGGTAGAGCCCCGGTCCCTGGATGATGGGCAGCTGGGCGTCGAAGCTGGCTGGCGGCAGAGGGCGGATGGCTGGCCGGGCACTAGGCCGCTGGACCCCAGCTGTATGTATGTCATCTACCGACTGAACAGGGTCTGGATCTGAGCCGGTAGGAATGAGAGTTGGACGTATCTCTTCGAGCGCGAATCGTCACAACTCATGAGTGTCACGATGCTTCCGAGATGGTGGGCGATATGCTCTCTCTTGCCGAGTCAAGTTCGTGTAAGTCAATGCCTTGGGCAAAGCAGCGGTGAGGTGTCTTAGTCATGTCGGCGACGGCGTCGAGACGAGTCGAGCTGGAGGCAGACGGTCAGCATCGGTGTAGAAGTGTTTGGGTCGGGGAGTAGCAGCAGCAGTGAAGTCATCTCGATGCCTGGGCACCACGCTGCCGGCTGACCGACACGTCCCAATGTCGATAGCCTCGCTTTCCAGACCTCTGGGTGTCGGCGTTCAGCTAAGCACGAAGCGACTTCAATTAGCGTGAGACTTTTCCAGCTGCGACCTCCCGGAAGGTAAGGCAAAGACAATGAGGGTACGGTACCTAGGTAGCTTGCCTACAATGTACTTCTTCTCGAGCGGGATGATGAAGGGGAGTTGCTAGCCACGCACCTCTCCGCCTCATCCCATCCCAAGACTTCACCAGGCTCACCTTCCCCCCTGGCTCAAGCTGGGGAAAGGTTGCAAGAAATCATCCTAGCGCAACTGCCTCACCAGGCCATCGTAAGCAATAGAACACGCGCAAGGAGGAAATGACCGGCGTCCAAGGGATGCGAAAGAGGGAAAGAGCATCAAGGTCGTAGCCCGATGCGCCTGCTAATGCGAGAGGTACGTTGCGCGCGCGATACGTACTTATCTTACCTAAGGTACCTAACTACCGGGACATCTGTTCGGAAGGTGCTCTGGATTTAGGTTGGGAGGAACGGAAAGAGCAATTAGGAAATTGAAAAAAAAGTAAGGAAAGATCGATATCATTTTTCTCAACCTCACACCGCGGTCTTCACCTGCTGTCGGGACTCACCGGGGAAGACGCTTCCGGCACAGCACCCCATATTCAATCTTGGAACCCTATCCAGAAAAGTCTCCGTGTCGCCGCCATCGATGCAGATGTACGACAAACCTGTCTCTCCTTGTACGCGCCTTCGAATCCGAGTGGTCACGATCATTACTTCTTCTCCTTCCGCTGACCTCTAGTCGCTCCCCGATGTACGGACGTACCGCCCCGTCGTCATGTCAGGCACCGATACCGTGGTGGCTGGCGCAGCTTGGAGACCCTGGGAGACAACAGACAAACACCAAACGGCCCAATCAAGCCAATTGTGGCTTGACCGACGGCGAACGACGACGTCCACATCAACGTTCGTGGCCGCCTCGCCGACATGGTGGGTGGTGGTGGATTGATCACCATGGATGATGGTGGTGCGGCAAAAGGGAACAGCAAACTTCCAGGATGCGACGACCCCAAAGGAAAACAAGGGCTGCTGGAAAAGCCGCTAGCCAGCGCAGCACCCAGCACCCAACAAGCATGCCCCAGGCTTGCATGGCGATCATGGTTCATGGCAACTTGATGCAGCCAGGCCAGGCCACTGCACCCTCACTCACACCTGCTCCTGCTCCTGCTCTGCCGCCACGGGAAATCGTTACCGCCCCGGTCCTGGGAGCCTCTGCCGGGCGGACGCTGGACGCTGCAAGCTGCGCACCCGCTGCATATCTGACCGCCAGTTCATCATCAGACCAAGGGCCAAGCCGAAAAGCTTCATACACACACGATAGAGCGAAGCAGCGGACAACTTAGCGGGAGGGCACGCAAACCCCAAGCCACCGCGAGGCAAGACAGACCGACTCCGTGAAGGCTGTTCCTGGCTCGTGGCCAAGGTCATGGATGGTCCAGGACGACGACGACAACGACGACGAGGACATGGGAATCCGGCGAGGCATGAAAGGCATTGATGAATGTTTCTTGAGCCAACCCAGCCCTAGGCTGTCCTGCGGATAGTCAACCGCCCTCGACGACTCGCTCGGCAGTGGCGCATTGTCAACGTGGTTTGTTGGCTCTATGGCCTTGTCGAGACAAGCCTCATCTTACGCCCATTGTCGACCGCACAGACGTCGGGCTCGCTGGGACTGTTCTTCGTTTCTTGTTCTCCCGCTGCCGCTGCCGCTGCCATATGCAGAGCACAGCACCCAGGAGCACTACCGGCGTCTTTTTTCGGACTGCCCAGCGCAGCTCATCAAACCGAATCGCACCGTCGGAGTGTCAGTGGCACTAGCACTAGCCCGCGGAAGAGGAGCCGTCCAAGACAGCACAAGGACAGACATGCAGCCTGATTGCTTGATCGAGCAGGGCCCCGTTTAGCCCGTTAGGATCGGCGGCGAACAGCATAAGCACTTTGAGATTTGGGACTTCAGCGACAAGCTGCCAGAACGCGCACAGGTGCAGACATCATCCGTACAGGCTCAGGCACTCGTGGCGGCGGGGACTTCAAACCAAAATTCGACCTGAAGCAACCAGAGCAAAGCAACCGCAGTTCGCCCTTCACTTCACTTCGGTTCCTGAAGCATGTCCATAGTCCGTCCGGCCCCCAAACATCGGAACCCTCGCTGGCGTTTTCCCCCCCTCTTCGGCCGATTGATCCATCCCTCTTGGTCGAACTCGTCCCGCCGGTGTCCCAGTCTCCGGTTCTCGAGTTGTTTCTTAGCTCTCGCGGTTTGGCTGCTCGACTATGCGCGCCGTCATACTTTCGCTTTTGACTTCTGCGAACTCGTGCCGGATTCAGGGCACCAACCAACCACGGGACCGCGAGTACGAAGCCACCCGCAGTCTCCGGAGTCACCAGAATCGTTTTTGCGAGGCCTTTCCCCGCCAGCTGCCAGACAGATCGTCAGCCGGCGCGAGGAGGATCCCATCCACAGACCAACCCACCAGCCCAGCTCATGTCCACTCAAGTCTTCACTGCATCAGCAACCGCAGGTTTCAAACATGGGCTCCACAGCACCCGTATGCGGTTTCGCGACAACTGCTTGTTGCCCACCACATTCCGCCCTCTCTCTCTCTCCTCTTTCTTGTCCTCTCCACGCTACGCTACGCTTGCTTGTCTTGCCCTAAGCACACACGCCGCCAATTGCCCGGGACCCTACTGGTACGGGATGGGCCTTGCACGTTCGACAGACAGCCTCTTGGTTTTTCAACTCTTCTCGGACACGTCGACGAGATTTCCACCCGCCTCCAACTCGGAATCGGTGCCCTGCGAGGAGCTGTGACCAAGTCTGCCCATCAGACACGGACACGAACATACCCTTATCCAGGCAAATCCCATTGTCTGCGTTTCTCGGATTCCATATTTCGGAGCAGCTGTCATCCAGCTTGCACCATCGATTCATTTGGCTTGGGCTTTGCATTAAACGCGCCGGGTCAAGCTGACCACAGACGGCGGGCTGTCTTCTGCATGACTTCGTGGCTATACCATCAGCACCTAACCCGATAGTCGGCCTTGAAGCCCAGCACTTGGATTTGGACATTTTTTTTTTCTCTTCTCACCGATGCCTTCTTCTTACAATACGGTATTCGGGGTGTCGACGTACGGGAGAACACCAGCCCAAGGCAGACGCTAGACAGGGCAACGGGTCAAGGGGCGTGTGTCGAAAAGAAAGCATGGCAGCCACCTGGTGTCTGTGTGTGCTCTGCGGGAAGGGGGGGCGTGTGTTTTTCAAACATGGGAGCTCAACTAGCCCATCCATGTAGGTTCCCAAACTATGCCTGAGTGAGGTTGTCCTTCCTGAGCCTTATTCGACCACCTCCACCGCATCGCATTCTTCAATGAGGGCAGGGCAAAAGACGGGCTGGCCCAGGCAAGGCAAGGGACGGGCGGCACCAACAAGATCCCATCATCTGCCACTCGTCATTCCCTCCCTATATGCGAGCTCGACATATATGTTCTGCCCTATTGCTACGTACACAGCGTACCATAATGCTGCTGTTGCTGGCTGTTACTGCTGCTGTTCACACTGGAAACTGGACCTGCTTTCCAAAACCTAACCAACCTCTCTGCCCCCTTCTCTTTCACACACCTCCTTCACACGCGCGCACACACGCACACTAGACATTACTCTCGTCGTCGTCGTCTCTTTTTCCTTCTCCACAGCCGTGGTGGCTCTGTTTCTCGCTTTCTTGCTTGCTACTGCTGCTGCTGTCCTACTCTTCTTCCTCTGCTCTTCAATATTTTTTTTTATTCACCGCACCCCCTCCACACGCCCCTCCCTTGCTCCCACTCAAGTCTCCTCTTCGTTTCTTCTTCGATGACTTTCCTCTCGTCAGTTTAAGAGTCTTTTCGGCCCTGGCTGTCACTTTGGTTAACCAGACCCCGGTATCCGTCCCCCACCTCTCATCCACCTCTTCAACCCATCACCGTCCCTCCAACTACTACTTCCTTGGTCCATTTTAATTCTTTTCTCTTCCATTCACAATCTGCAGCACCGCAAGTTCCCGACGTAGACCGGCTTGTACCTTGTTTCGTTGGCCTCTACCGACTTTCCGTAGGAGAACGATGACTCTGGCAAAGCTTCGCTTTCTGATGAAGACTTCTAGCAGCCTAGTTTGACTGACGTATACTTCCGCCGCCGCCCTCCTTTTCTGCCCTGCCCGCTCGCCTGCCTGCCTCATCACCGGGCAAGCTCATTTCTCCCATCATTGGTCACCGGCCTCTCGGACTGGCCCAATCATGTTCATGACTTGCTTCAAAAACACCAGCACGCCGCCGTCTTGATCTGGGCTCAGGTCCTCTTTCCTTTTCAGATCCCTTTCCCCCCTTTCACTCTCCACCAGGACACACGGGACGTTTCCCATTCCACGAGGCCAAAACCGTCCATTGTCCTGATACGACAGACCTACGAGAAACCCGCCGCTCCTCTCGTCCGCAGCAACGGGCTATTGTCACTAATACCCACTCGCCGACGCTCTCTCTCCGTCCTAACCCCTCTCCGCCGCCGCCTTCACACAAACCGCCGCCAGTCGACCTTGCCCGGAGCTTTGCCTGCGAAGTGAGGAGCATTTCCCGACGAGCATCGAGCGTCCGATCCGCTTCCAAGCCAGGTCGGGACGACTGACCGACCACCGCCCCTCCAGCTCCATTAAAAAACCCGTCCGCCTTCTGGGTGTGGCGTCACGCAAACCGAAAAGCTGGCGCGCGTCTATCGCGCCCATGACCCAAGGCCGTATCCCACTTACCTAGGTGGCAAAACCGTCACCGTGGATATCGCGTCTCTCCTAAAGGCCCCCGACTCAGATGAGTCCTCCGCTGCTCCTCCTCAACACGCCCGATCTTTGTCAGTCCCCTCCACAACCGCAACCACGGCGGCCACGGCGCCTGTCAGCGGGCTTCCTCCGTATGTCCCGCCACCCGTAGCGACGGGCCTGGCTGCGAGCGGCAAGCGTGCCATGCCGCCGCACGTCGCGGAGTCTCCGGCCAAGAAGCAGAGCAAGTGGTCGCCGGAGGAGGATGCGCTGATCATCGAGCTTCGGGGGAGCGGCATGAAGTGGGAGGACATCTCGAAACGTCTGCCGGGACGAAGCGCCATCAGTTGTCGACTTCACTACCAGAACTACTTGGAAAGACGCAGCGAATGGGACGAGGAGCGCAAGAACAAGCTCGCACGACTCTACGAGAGGTATGGCACAAGAAGACGTCGGGAGGGGTTGAGTCACAGGAAGCTAACGGGACGACCAGGTTCAAGCCGGAGATGTGGGCCAAAGTCGCGGAGGAGATGGCGGTTCCTTGGCGTGCCGCCGAGGCCATGCACTGGCAGCTCGGCGAGGCCGACATGGCCCGGCGAGCCGGCGTGGTCCCGTTCTCCCTGACGGCGGTCAACGTCGACCAGCCGGGCGGCAGCCATCGACAGTCGCCTTCTCGGGGCCACATGCACACGCAGTCGCAGGGCAGTTTACCTCGGGACATCGGCGGACCTTCCCCACGATACGGCCGACCTCCACCCGGCATATCGCCGATCCCCGGCGGGCGAGTCATTGCCGCCAGGCGCGAGAGCATCCCCGGACGGCCCCCGCTGGGCCCGGACCCGAACGAAGGCGTACAGCTGGCGGGGCTTGGACCGCCGGGCGGCCCCGGATTGGCACCGATCCAGGGCCTCCCGCCCGGCCGAGGCGGAGGAATGCTTCCGGGGGTGGCCGAGCTGACGACCGGCGTGAGCCCGTACAGCACTCCGGCCTACGCGATGGGCGGCATGCCTACCGCCAGCCCCGTGCCCAGCGCCAGGGCGAGCCCCGGACCGCTTCTCCCCGCCCTCCACTACCCGCCACACGAGCCGGCCGGATCGAAACGACGAGCGAGCCCAGGCACCGAGATGGGACCACGCGAGACGAGCCGACGTCGGCACTTGGACCCCCGCCAGGAGGAGATGGAAAGGAGACGCTTAGCATGACCGTAGGGCAAAGCAAACGTGGCGCGGCGAACTTGGAGTTGGGAAAAAAAATCTTTTGTCAGGAAGGGGGGGCGGCTGAACCTCACACGTTCTCCCCCTCCCGTCCTTTTCATGATTGCATGGGGAAACCTCCGGGGTCTGTTTTATCACGTGTTGCGGGAGGCACCACAACCGGGAACACCAGCATGTTGCATCGGGATCGGAGCAGAAATTCTTGTCTCTTTTACCTTTCTTCTCATACACAGCAACCAACATCGTGACCACGCACGCCGTCCCCCCCTCCCCCCACGTGCGGCCGGTCGACGGCGTGTGTCCAACCCTGTTTCCGGCCTCTCAACTTCTACTTCATGTCATTTTACTTTTTTTTTTTTTCCGGGGGAACTTCCTCTTTTTTGTCACAACATTTCTCAGCCGGCGGCGCGGTGTGTGCAAGAGAAAAAACAAAGTTTTGGCCGTTGGGTTTCCACGGTACCCGGCAGGTGGGAGGGGAATTGGGACACGGGCGAAAAAAATCCTTGGCGGCGTGGTCAGGTCGGTTGGGGGTAGTGTGCGTGTGTGTATGTGTGTGTGTGTGGGCATGAAACCTTCAGTGTATGTATTGTCTCTGCGTGTGTGCAGGAGCGCGTCGGCCGTGGCGAGCACGGCGAGCACGGCGAGCTGGCGGAGAAACGAAAGATGCCACTTGATGATGAAGAGATGGGATACGGTCATGATAGAATTGCAGGTCCCTAGATCACTTGTTTTCATTTTGCTTTTTCCGCCCGTCCTCCTTCCTGTGCATGTCGTTCATGAATCCCGGCAGAAGATGGCCCACCAGTTGTCCCTCTCGTAGCCGCTCTCGAGGACCCGGCCCCCGACGGCCACGACGTCCTCTTCGAGCTCCCCCTCGCGGTAGAGGTGGTAATACCGCTGGTACGTCGTATCCGTGGGCTTCTCCTGGGCCTCCGTCTTGGACCCCTTGGTCACCCACGAGACGAGCTGGTCCTGCTCCGCGCCCGAGTCCCACCCGCGCCGGCTGTTGCCCTGCTCCAGGGCCCAGACCATGACCAGGACCTTGCCCTCGCGGGGCCGGACGGCGGACAGCAGCGCGGCGACGGCGGCTTTGCGGCGTTCGCGGGTCGACATGTGGTGGATCACGGCGATGGAGATGGCGAAGTCGAAGGCGGATTGGCGGTAGGGCAGGGCCAGGGAGTCGGCCACCAGGACTTGGTTCTTGGGGGACGGCTTGGGAGGTTCGGGGGGCGGCGCTGCTTCTGCTGCCGCCTTGTTCTTGGCCTTGCCTTTGCTCTTGGGAGCGCCCTCGTTGTAGAACGGCGGCTGGTAGTCCCGGGCCAGCGAGACGAGGTTCGCGCTGCGGTCCGAGGCGATGATGTACACCGCCGGGTTGACGCCGATGTACTTGCCGTTGCCGCAGCCGGCGTCGAGGCCGAGGGAGCCTGGGGCCAGGGAGAGCAGGAAGGAGGAGACGAGGGGCCAGGGCTTGTAGCGGGTGGAGGAGAAGTGAGGGGCGATGGCCTCGTAGACGGTGTGGACGTGGCGGGATTCGTACGACTCTGCGTCTTCTTGTGGTAGTTGTGGCGCCGAGGGTTGGACGTCGCCGGGATCGGCGGCGGCGGCGGACGGGGCCACGGCCGGGCCGGAGCCGGGTTGGGGGCCGGATGAGGAGCTCATGTGGGTTCTCTTCCCTCTGTGGACTGCTCACAGCTAATTTCCCCTTTCAGAAATTCAGGAGGTGAAGCTTCTTGCACTTGCGGTGAAAGCCCTTGTCCGTCGGTGTCGGTGTAGCTCTCCCCTGACGATCCAGCGTTGTACGGATACGGGCAGAAGGAGGTGCAATCTCGGCCGGGGCCCTGGTCTGCGGTCTCGTTAAGGTTGGTATGCGTCAATAATGGCGGCCGTTGTCGTTCCCTCGGCGTCCGGGCGTATGCGTTTGCGCGTGCGCTGCCGGAATAATTATCTAATGCAAGGAAGAAAGCAAGTTTCGAAAGATTGGCGTCAAAGGGTCGTGCGCTGCTGCGAGTTCGCTTTTCTTCTTGGGGGGTGTGGTTGCAAGAAAGGAGTGACGATGTCGAGGAGAAAATTGATGCAACTGGAGACGGTCTGAGCGCGCGTGCGTTCCTGTGGCGCGGCCGCCTCTTCTTCCATTTCTTCCCCGCTGGTTTGCGCGCGAAAATGACGGCTGGCGTCGTTGTGCGGTGGGTCCCGCAGCAGACGCGGGTACGGTGCGGCACGGTGAGCCTCGAACGGGGATGCGTTCCGGGATTAGGGGGGAGAGCCCACATGTCCACCCCCCGGCTCGGAGTACTCCGAGTTCCCAGTCGAGTCCCGGGGTCCGGAACACCAGACATTTTGGTCGTCTTTGGCCAATGGGACGACTTCAGGGCCGTTCGTGCATTGACGAACGGGCGGCATTTGGATGCTTCGGGGACAGGACCGGTGAGAACTGATCCATGGAATGTTTGCTCTTGGACTTTTTCAATCAGCCAGGCCCCCTTGTGCTACATCTGCATGATCGTGTGCGCTGTACTCTCTAGCCGCTGAGGAATGCGGCAAACCACATTCAGGTCGGAAAAAAGGCCGCCCAAAGCGGTTTCGAAAAGGGACAGAGAAGGCTACGTTGCATTTCCTCGACCGGGGCGCCAGACGAATTTGGAATTCCGGGGGGCCGGTACGAACGGATGGAGAATCACCCTAGAGGAACTTCTTGCGTGATTGCCGTCAGGGATCTGGGTAGCCTTCCGGCGGCTCCCACGAACCGTTCGAGGGTTGACTCGGAGCTCGTTCCGGGAGACCTCCTTTCGACAGATCGGCAAGGGCAAAATGTGACGAGGAAATCGAAGACCAGGGGGTGTGTGTGTGTTGGATGTTTGTTGTTTGCCCACATCGGTGCGCCGTACGTCGGACAAATTGCTTTTCTTTTATTCTGTTACGGACGTTGAAGAAGTCTCACCTTAATCGCCGCCCCCTGTTCATTCTCTTCCTCTTTCTCTTCTTTCGGTAAGTAGCCATGTCAGATTCAGGCGAACCACTCTGTGCGTTTGTCGCTGCCGAAAAAATAGAGAGGTCACCGAGTCCTTGGGACCAGATTAATCTCCGATCAGCCGCAACAAATGCGCGGCCAGGCGAGATTATGCTGTGCTGTGCCGCCCCGGTCGCGTGAAGCGCAGGCCGTTCCATCTCACGGCCGAACCGAACGGGGTGGTTTGGTGGTTGCTTATTATTGGCAATGCCGAGGAGGGTGTGACACTGAGGTTTGGGGATCTTGGCGATAAGTTCAACTGCGCAATCTCCACGACCACGTGCGGTTTCTCTTCTAGAATGCCGTGTGCGAGGACTGGTATATGGTGTTTGGAAGGAAATTGCAAAAAACGCGTGCTTTGATGCGGTTTGCTCCTTTACCGCGTGGCCAGCTGGCGTTACTTTTTTCTGGCGATCAGGGAGGATTCTTCGGGGACCGGGAGGGGTGTAAGTAGGAGCAAACTGACGAACGGTTCCTGCTGAGTAAGTTCATGCCGCGAAGATACGTGTTCTTGTCACAACGGATCGAGAAGAAGCATTGATACGGTGACTGTGGAATCGCTTATTTCATTAGGTTCTTAGGCCGCCCGTCTCCGTCCCGTTCCGAAACTGCGGATCGGCGCGGCGGATCCGCATCTCCGGAACCGAGCCCGGACCGAACTTCCCGTGTACTTTATCTCGTCTAGTCACACAGTACTCTGTCATTTTCTACTCATGCGTTGCCTAGGTTCAACGGGCTCTTGGGGTCGAACTCGTGCGTGGTGATCAGGTCGGGATACTTGATGCCGCCCTGCTTGATCACGCTGTCCATCGTCTCCATAATGACGAGCGACTCCGACAGCGGCAGGGAGTCGCTCTCGAGCTTGCCGTCACGCAGGCAGCGCGCGCACTCGTCGGCCTCCCAGAACATGCCGTGGCCCCAGTTGCGTGCCGGGTCGGTGGGAATCGGGCAGTCAACCGTCTCGATGGGGCCGTCCTTCTTGATGACCTTGTACGACAGCGGCCTGTAGGCGGGGTGGGCGACCTGGATCTCGCCTCCGGAGCCCTGGATGCGGATGGCGGGCGCCGACTTGCCCTCGCCGTCGGGGTCGGTGGCCACGCGCATCGACGTCGTGGCGATGCCCGTCGTCTGGTGCTTGGGGAAGTTGAGGATCATGCTGGTGGACTCGTCGGCGCCGGTGGTGTACTTCTGCACGGCGGCCAGGACCTGAGGTGCCTCCTTGTCGGCCTCGGGCTGCAGGTGGTACAGGGTCTGGAAGATCCACGTCAGGGAGTAGATGCCCAGGTCCAGCAGGGCGCCGCCGGCCAGCTCGGGGTTGACCATGCGGTGGGAGTCGGCGAAGGACAGCTTGGCGGGGTCCTCGGTGTTGGCGTTGAAGGACAGGTCGGCGGTGGCGCGGTAGACCTTGCCGATGGCGCCGGAGGAGATGAGCTCGCGGACCTTGATGCTGAGGGGGAAGTAGCGGGTCCAGACGGCCTCCATGAAGAAGAGCTTCTTGGCGCGGGCGGTCTCGATGAGGCGGCGGGTCTGCTCGGCGGTGACGGTCAGGGCCTTTTCGCAGAGGACGTTCTTGCCGGCGTCGAGGGCCAGCATGGCGTTTTGGAAGTGGTGGCTGTGGGGGGTGGCGACGTAGATGATGTCGACGTTGGGGTCCGCGACGAGGTCGGCGTAGGAGCCGTAGACAGCGGCGTCTGTGGGGCCGTCAATCTTCTTGATGAAGTCGCGGGCTTTCTGGGCATCGCGGGAGGACGAGACGGCGACGATCTTGTGGGCGACGTCGGTGACTTCGCGGGCGGCGGGATTGGTCAGGAGATCCTTGCAGAAGGCTGGAGTTTGTTAGCCCTTGGACATTCGGAGGATTGAAACCATCGCTGGGAGGAGGTAACCTACTCTCGGCGATCCAGCCGGTGGCCATGATGCCCCATTTGACAGTGTGCGGCGCCATTTTGGTGATTGTGGTTACGAGCGGTGGTGTATGGTTCGAATTGACCTGAAATAACACGAAACAGAAGTCTAGGGAAGGTGCAACAGCAGGGTATATAAAGGAACAGGACAGCTCCGGCGTAAAGAATCGGACGGGAAGGAAAGGTGCGAATCGGCGAGGGTGTCTGCTTCTTTTTCAATCCCGCGTCGTCGCGCACCCCGCCACACCACCCGCACGCAGTGCTCGGAGGCAGCTGCTGCGGGGTTCAATAACGGAAAGCAAGGGTGATGCGACGATGCTGGAGCTGCTCTGGCGGAGATCCCGCCCAGTTCCGCCCAAGCAGCCGGGTAAATTGCTCAGGTAACACGATGATGCTTAGAAATGCCACCGGCGTCAATTTCAAACCCCAAGACTCATCAAAACGCCTTACTGGTGCGCCTTGAAAGTTGCGAACAACGATGGACCCCACCTCCACGAAAGGTGCCGTCTCGACTCTTACAACTTCCCGTTTGGGTCGTGTTGGAGAGCTTTGGCGAAGCTGCGTGGAAGGTCGGGCCTTACCCCGCGGCGGGGCTTTCCTTATCGGGTGCGCGATAAGACGTCATTCAGACATCTCCTCCGGACAGGCAATCCCGCGCGTGGGCGGGAACGCGCGAACCGAAACTAACGCCGGGGAGTATCGGCTCGAAACGAAGACGCTCCGCGACATGGAATTTCCAGAAGCCCATACTCGCAGCATCTAAGCGTTTGTCTTGCATTTCTGAAAGTCAGGGTTTCACGTCTGAGTTGCGCGCCGCTTGAGCCTCAATGCTTGATTGCGCGTCTCATCAGATAACCCCTCACAGGTCCCTGACATCACCTCTGGTAATCCACTCCGTCACATATCCCTAGCAACGCGGTTGTCGACGCCATCTACCGCGAAGACTAATTCTAGCATCGAGAAATGGCATCCACCACTGTCGCTCCTATTCCCCGCCTGATATACGGCACGGCCTGGAAAAAGGCTCAGACCGCTCCCCTCGTCGTCTCGGCGCTGTCTGCCGGCTTTCGCGGCTTGGACACCGCGGCATCCCACCATTATTACGAGGAGGGCGTTGGCGCCGGCCTCCGAACATGGCTGACCCAGAACCCAAGAACCATCTCCCGCTCGTCACTCTACATCCAGACCAAGTTCTCCCCGGCCCCTTCTGAGCTGCCGATTCCCGATCAAGTGCACAGCCAAATCGCCACCTCACTTAAGCGCTTGTCCGTCTCAGACTCCCTGTTCAAAGACGGTCCTGAGGCATCAACACCACCGGATGAGAATCCAGACTTCTATCTGGACTGCGTCCTTCTCCACTCGCCGTACGCAGCTCACGAAGACACGCTCTCGGCCTGGCGCGCCCTAGAGTCATATGGTGAGATACTTCGGAATACCACAGGACATGCCCCATGCTGATGAACACTTAGTTCCCCACCGTATTCGTACTATTGGCATCTCCAACGTGGATCTGGATGAGCTGCACGCACTCTGTAACGACGCTGCTGTGAAGCCTGTCGTGGTCCAGAACCGTTTGAATCCGAAAGAGGCTTACAACACCCCGGTCCGAGTCTTCTGCCGTGAGCATGGTATCAATTTCCAGTCTTTCTGGACTTTGACTGCGAACCCGGGCATCGTCAAGAGCGACTACGTGGGAAAGATCGCCGCAGCAGTCGGTGTCAGTAACGAGACGGCCATGTACAGCCTCGTCTTGGGCTTGGGAGACCACGTCAGTGTTTTGGACGGTACCACGAACGAGTCTCGCATGAAGGGCGACCTCGAAGGCGTGGAGAAGGTGGCCGCATGGGCTGCGGGCGAGGGTTCAGCTCTCTGGAAGGCGAGTCTGGGGGCGTTCAAGACCGTCCTGGGCGACACCGACTGAAGCCAAAGTCAATAACGATACCAAATAATATTGTATTCCAGTGGGAGGTGCTTCTTCCCAGCATCCACAACGAAACGCCCGAGAATGCATTCTGCCGTGGGGTATTCCGTAGCTCGCAGAAACGCGCCAGAGCTGTCACTCAGCTCTCATGCAACAAATACACCTTTCCCGATGCTGTCCCCGACCGATAGTCGAGATCGCACCCAGCGAAACGAAGACTCGCAGTGGTATCTCATAATCCAACAAAGGAAAAACCAATCCGATCCGAGATGGTTGCCGCGCCATCTGTACCCCTTTGCCCCTGTATCCTATCGAGTCGTCATCATATCAAGGTTGCTCGTGTTGTCATCAATCATCGTCGTCGTATTCTTGGCTATCCACCAGTATTACGACTGTCAAAGTAGCGGCGTATGCCTCGCGAATCGCGCAAGCCATGCTGTCGAGCATTAGCATAAGTCACTTTTGCCATGAATCTGGCGCAGACTTACCACGTCTTTCGAAGGTCTGCAACAACGGCACTGAGGCCCCAATGTGAACACCAAGCCCTTGCCAATACTTCATTGTCCCTGACTCCAAACGCTTCCACCACCAAGACTTGCTCCTCGTCAATCTGCTCTTGGCTCGTCGCCGTGTGGGGCCCTCCCGTAGAGCTAGTTCGAGAACTGCGCGCGCTCTGTGAGTGACCGTATAAGCCACCCCAGTCCTTGATGCTCATAATCTCGTCGGCTCGTACGGTTTGGTGAACGTAATCAAAGAACAGCGGATGGGGACCCTCAGAACAGGGCCACGCAGAGATAAAGGATACGTCGTATGTGAGACGCATCGGCCAGGAAACCCCATCGATGGCGAACTGGATCATGGCGTCGTACACTTTCGGCGCCGGCGGCGGTTCCTGGAAACGGTCTGGAATAGCCTTGAAGCTGAGCAACTCGATTCGCACCGTATCGATCACGTCGTCGATTTCCGGGGCAACAAGTTTGTACTCCTTGACGGGGAAGACTTCGGCAGGCGGTCCGAGGGGGTCAGATCGTTCGCTCATGGACTGTACGTCTTCCGGAGTCATCCGCTGACGCGGCCGACGGGATCGCACTCGCGCAATCTGGGAACGGCCAAGGTCCGCAGTCGGGCGAGCAGGCCCGACCCAACCCGCCAAAGACCGGCACGTCGGAGCGAGGACCTTGCCGACTATGGAGGCGGCAGTCCAGTACGTGTAACTGTTCCTATACTGAAACCCGCAATGTGGATGGGCGTGAGTGAGTAGAGCCAGAGAGTCGGTTGCTTTGTCGGGATCGATGTCTATGAGGGTGTTCATGATGAGGAACGGGAATGTGGCCTGGCACGGATTAGCACGGCACAGCTGGAGCATGTGGCAAGGCTTACACCCGGGAGGACGAGGCCACTGAAGAAGGCCAAAGCATCCGAGCTGATGATGTCGAGGCTTGCCTCGATATCTCGCTGCTTCATGTTGTCGAGAGTCTGGCCCAGGTTTGGCCATTTCATCATCTGCGCAAACCGTCGTAGCATCTTGATTTGCCGCTTCTTCAGTCTGAACCTCAGGCTGACTGTTGCAAGTTAGAATCTGCGAGTGAACGTGTGCGAATATCCTTACTCTGATCCACCGTCTTCCCATAGCCTTCCACCCTGACGTGCTCTCGCCATCGTCTTGCCAGGGCGAGGTTCCATTGAATCGTCGGCGGGAGTTGCGGCACCAGCTTGTCCTTCGCCCAGTCGCCATGCATTCGGGAGCTGATGCGTAGGTCAAGCTCCATGCTGAGAAGCAGCTGGTGGCAGAACTTGATATACTGCGCTTGGCTGGCGTGGCTCGGGTCGAAGATGAACCGGGTAACGACTTGGTTTTTTGGGTTTGTGAAATCGATCCAGTCTGGCCGTGTCAGCACCATGATCAGATCAGTAATCTGCTTGTCGAGTGTCTTGTGTGGGTTCACAAGCTTGTCGGGATCGCGAAGAAACCGGCGATATAAGCTTTTGTACATCATCTCCTCGTCGTCGTCCTCCAATCCCGACTCCAACTCTTTGAGACGCCTGAAAATGTGACTCAAGTCAACTTCGCGGGCCGTCACACCCGAATCTCTCAAGGCGATAGTCGGAGGCAGCACGCTGGCCATGGACGCCCATTGGTTCAGGGTGATTGTGCCGGGGCGTTGGCCGTGGAAGAAGGAGTAGCTGGGCTGTTCCAGCGTCTCCCAGGGGTAGTCGGCCAATCCGGGGCCCTGCATTCGGAGGGTCATGAGCTGGGTCATGGAGTCGTGGAGATTGGCAGAGTCGGATTCTTCTGTTTTGCTACCGTTTGAAGATGTCGTGAAAAGGGCGTAGTAGTGATCTGATGCGTGCGGAACGGGTCGCTTGTGCCCCTTGTGAGCCGGCACCCCGCGGGACACGAGCGCGACAGCGTCGCCAAGGGTGAGCTCCTCTTCACTCGACATGCCGGATGGTGGCCACTCGGTCAGAGGTCCCTGGTTCAAAACCTGCCCGTTTGGATGCGCGCGACCTTTGCCCTTCGCCCTGGCCGGGTCGGGTCTCTTGGGCCTGCGACGTGAATTGGGTTGAGGTGTGTGGCCGTTGGGAGACTCGACGGTTCTGGTGCCGCCGGACATGTCGGGCAGGGACCGACGCCTCCGGGGAATGACATCTCCATCGCTTGCTCTGCGCGATTCTGGTTTTTCCTGGAGCGAAGTCAGTCAAAAACATTCGGAAATGAAGCGCGTGACGAACGCGATGATCCCGAGTGCGCACCAGTCTCCCTTTCCTCGCCATGCTCCTGTTCCTGAAGATGCTGCCCCAGAAGCTCTTCTTCTCGGGGCGACTTTCTCGGTCCTTCTCCTCGCTGACTTCGGCCATGTCTCATTAATGAATTAAAGACGTCAGAACTCAAAGGCGGGCCAAGCTCGAGGTAGAGACTGCGACGCGGGAGAAAACGCAGTGTTGGGCAATCGGTTGAAGGCCTGGCGACGGCGGGCGTAAGTGAATTCGTCAGTCGCGTGGCTGCGCAACATGTGTGTCACGGGGAATGCGCCTGTCGCAGACAGACTAGGCCGCCCGGCATCAGCTCGGATTCCGCAGGAATGAACGTATCGGTGGTAGATGATGGTTTTTCGGGGTTACAGCAGCGATTGTCTCATTGTCCAGGCCGGAGCGGCGGACTTGTTGTTTATTAGGGACTGCGAAGCGGTGGTCGTCGGAGGGATGGGGAAACGGGTGTCTGTGTGTGTGAACGTCTGTGAGGTATCTGAACATCAAAGACGCATCTCAAAAGTTGAGAAGAGCAGGGAAAGGCAAGGTCTGGCTGGGCAAATAGCATGCGCAGGAGTAATCGTAGCCGTGACCGTAACCGTGGCTCTCGGTCGGCAGCGCAGCGTTCGGGACGCAATAGGTCGCTCAGTAAGAACGGGCAAGGTAGAGTTGGACGCAGTAATCCAGTCGTGGCGCTCTCTCGAATTCGAGGTGGTGGTTCACGTGTCGCAGCGGCATGAGATGACGGAGTGAGTCCGAGCGGCGGCGGGTCTCTCTGGTTTTTGGGTTTGGCTTTGGTTGATTGAGGGAGGGACGGTTGGTCTGGGTGGGCACTGAAAGAGGAAGGGACTGTCCTTTGGTCTTCACCTTGGGTATTACTGCAGACAGACGACTGCGCGATTAGCTGACAATTTTTCAGGGCTGCAGTTGCAGTCGCAGTCGTGTTGCTGTAGTCGTCGGTTCCTTGCTTCGCAGTTCCTTCTATTCTTTCCATCGCCGTAACATAACAAATATTGTATGTACCTTCCTTGCACGGCTTACACTGCTTGGAGCAGGTGGGTTGGCCAGACCAGCGGCAGGTGCCACCTTCCTGTGGATGCTCCTCAATTTGGAGCGTGCGCTGTACCGCGCAAGGCAAGAGGCAAGCCTGTCGTTTAGGTAAGGCGGTACTCTGTACGAATACCCTCCCAAACTCCATCAACGCCATCTTAAAGTATTCGCAAGGCAAGCAATGCGCGGGCAGCGCAAACTTACCTGCTGTGCGGGATCAACACATCAGGTGGCTGTGGGCAAACCATGCTTCGTTTCTGCAGACGAGGTTCGTCGTGATAGGACACTGCGCCGCGCAGCACAAAACCAAAAGAATGGATGAGCCTGCATGCTTTGACGTACAGGAAGGAATAACCCAGTCTTCCTTACCGGCTGCAAGAAATCCAAACCTGCCACGTCGTATGTCATCCCGCGCTCTCCACGTTCTCTGACTCGCCTAGCACCAACCTGAGGACCGGCCGTCTGCCCAAGCTTCCATCCCTCTTCTGTTTTTCTTTTTTGCTTCATTCTTCTCTGCTTCATCCTGCGCTGAACCGCGGCCGTTCCGGCTCTGTCCCGAACCAAGGACCCTAACCCTGGCTTGACCCAAGATTACCGCCAACAACAAACCGCCTCACGCTCCACTTCCTTCCTCCACGACCCCGACCGTACCCAGCTTTCTGTTACCCTCGTCCATGCACGTCAACAGCCGAATCCGCCCTGATGACGCTCTGCGACTTCGACGGCCACCCGAAGACTGTTTGATCGAGATCGAGCCCCGAAGTGCTACCTGCTTTGTCTTCTTCGGACCCGGTCGCAGCGAGCGAGACCCGCGCAGACCGCTCAGGGACAGCCATCACGCGCGAAACAAACGCCCAGAGTCAAGTTCTATGTCGTGATACCCGCCATCGGCCAAACTCACTCGGACGGCCGCCACCGGATGACAACTCTCTCCTTCCCAGAAACCAACTTCCGACACTTCCGGCATCCGCCCCGGCCGTCTCCAAGCCAGCCTGAGTTCTCTGCCGTAAACTACGAAGAACTGCTTTTGCGTTACGAATAGTCGCGATCTGGCACTCTCAGCATATCCAGAATTGCCGCCGCGCTTACCACACCCTTTCGTTGCTCACGACCTAGCGATGTGACTCTCCAGTGGATCGGTGGTCTGACCAGTTCTTCGATCTAATGGATCTTCCTGGTGTAACTCTGGATCTGGTGTTTCGACCTGTCGTCCAGGTGGTGTGACAGCCAGGTCCAGGGTCCGTAGTACTCTGAATGGCGCCTTTCTGAATACCATACCAGACATCTGGTATACGCCTCCAACTGTTCGTACGAGGGTCTGCCGCGCTTGGCGACCCTCTTATTGCCGCGGCATAGCTGGTCAACTCCATGCGTGTCTCTGATATAGTAAGTCATCGAGATGAACCTGAACATCCGGAACACCGAACACCGGAGTCCCAGACCGTCCTATGAAGATGTCCAGGGAACACCTCACCGAGCAGGAAAACGGCCAATTATATCCAACATCAGCGCAACTCTCTGTGCGCATTGGACCCGTCGTGAGAGGCACAAGTCGAGTTAAGCAACGGTAGGGCACTTGGACCCTGAACTCTCTTGTTCGTTACCGTAATAGCACACCTCGCGCTTGGTCCTTCCTCTGAACTCACGAAGTTCCTCCGGAGGTCTTATCTCCCGTCCGGAGTTTGGTCCGCTGGTGATCCACAACGCGACGACGTGCCGCCAAGTTCATGCCATCGTCGTAGTACCAAGCATGTGCTTCATGCCTTGAGGTGAGCTATATAACACGTCGCTCTCTTATACCCATTGCGATCTTGCCGTAGGTATCTGACCGGCAGTTCTTTGTTAGTATTCCGCTCAATATTATCGAGAGTTCGCAGGCGTGCAAGGAAACTCGAGTACATGAAAATTGACAACAACTAGATCGAGGACTACGACGAATTCATTGAGGCCGAATCGATGGACTTACTTGTCTATGACGATGATTTGGCACAAGTCTGAGCTAATACTTTACTTCATTTTCTTGTATTGCTGTATCGATGTCTGAAACTAACTTCGCTAGAGCTCGTCACTTGGCTGGATGATGCCGCCGCAGGCTCCCTTTCTGAGCTTTGAGATCCATCGCTTCCCATAGGGTCGTACACGTCGTTATTGCGACCTTGCTGCCTTCCTCTATCGCCCCTAGTATCGTGCCGGCGTGGCTTACTCGTGGGTGGCCCTCGCTGACATTGGGAACCCTGTTCCGAGCGTGGCGGCTACTGCATCTCCTCCACACGTGAGCTGTAATCAGATGGCTGCATCTCCGGGCTTCTTTCTCAGGGGCGCTTCCCCCAGCAAAGGTGAGCTGACAACAGACGCCTGAGAGGAAGGAGCCATCATAGGCGCTGTGCCTTCCGATTCGTGTTGCGAAGGAGCCATCATAGACGTTGAGGGTCCCTATTCGAAGTGCCCAGAAGCCATCAAAGACGCTAAGTGCCTGCGTCCCGACTCCCACAATCGGGCGGCCTCATCGTTGGTGTCCCGCCTGTCTAGGATCAAGTCCTCGCGCTCTTGCGGGGTCAGCTCGCAGATCGGCCAGTTGCTAATGGTGTAGATCAGGAGGTATTTGTGGCCTGGAAGGCCGATGCTCCAGCAAGGATCCCCATCGGGAGGCGTCATCCCCGTGTAGATATCCGACCCATCGACCGTGAAAAGGCGGAGGTGGTCACGCTCATTGGGCTCGGACCTCATGCGAACCGCCGCCGTGAGAACGTAGCGAATGCTTGCGTGATCGACGCCGTCGTCTGGCTGATTCGCTTCCAGGCGCGGGTCTCGGAAGCTCCAGACCTGCAAATCGGAGAGGTCCTGGACGCCAGCGCCTTCGAACGGCGTGTACTCGATGCGGAAGTAGAGAGGGGGCGGAGGAAAGCGGCGCAGTTTGGCACCGTCCTCTCGGGTTATGATGTTGTCGCACCAGCTGATGACCTCTTTGCCAATGTCTAGCGGCCGAGTGACGGCGTCGCGTCCGATCCGGAAGATGTCGACGTAGGGATCGGTGTCCACGCCCCAGGGGGAGGAGGCCGTCTTTTTGATAAAAGTATCGAAAAGACGATGCTCCGGCCTCGACCACACTTCGGAGTTCATAGGTTCGGAGCAGAACAGCCTCTCAAAGGTCGCCTCCTTCAGATTTGCGGCGCCAAGCTCCCTGATCAACCTCGATATGTCTGCACTTAGGGTTTTCGTATCCTTGATTCTGGCCCATGACAGACGTTCCAGCGTACTGGAGTATTGGCGGGGCTCCCCTCTCCCTGTTTGGGCGGCTCGACGTGGCGAGCTGTGCGGGAGCTGACAGTTGAAGAGCCTGACGAGGACCAGGAGGCACTCGATTCCACTCGCGTCTCGCAATGGATTAGGTTTCGCGTATGGCCAAGACGCGAGTCTCGCATCTTGCCTGTTGGTGTCTTTCTCGACATCTCGTATGTCGTCCATTCTGCTCTTGATGGGCGATCGATGTTGGAGGCAGGTACTGTTTGCAATCTCAAGATTTTCTTAAAGATGAGGTGCCGACTGTTGCCTCACTTCAGCATCTGATGAATCAGGTAAGGTAAGGGCGGTAGGTCGTTTGGCGGTAGTGTCGTCTACTGTGTTTCTGGCAAGCACAATGGACGCTGGCTTGTGCCTTGAGAAAATCCAAGTAAACCGGCAAGAGACAACTTGAGAAAGACACAACTGAAATCTTTAGTCAGTTGCGATTGGAGGGCACCTTGGTGTAGCGCTATAAGACTGTTGGTCTTCTTCTGGATGAAAATTGGTAAGATTGTTTGTGCGAGGAGGAAGGTGAGGTGAAGACGGTAAATAAAAGAAGCTGTGTAGTGACGAGTGGGGCCCACACCGGAGTCGACTCCGTGGTGAATTAAGCTTGGTGCCCACCTGCCCGATCGCACCTTCCATCGGCGTCGCAACATTGACCCTCGCAGAGGCTCGACACGAATGCTATCATCACCAACTTTTCTCAAAGAAGAAACTTTCTACGGAGTTGCTATAAGCATCGGCGAAGTCAACCAGAAGCTGGGTGAGGTGCAGATCAAGGCTGCTAAGCCCCGAAATATCGACACGAGCATTACTAACATTCTTGCCCAGTTCTTTCGCTTGTGAGAGAATCTGAACAAGTCAAAAGAGGCAGCGATGACTTCGGTCGCGCAAGAGCCGGAGCTTTCTCATTGTGACTACGGCGTCCTCGACGAACAAGCTGCATTGAGCAAGGATACGCTGGAGAAAGTCGATCGCGAACTCGGAAATGTCAACAAGAGGGTCGAGAAACGTCCAGGGCCCGAGACTATCGGACGGGGCATAGAGGTGTTGGGGATGAAGCTCCAGGACAGTGATCGAAAGATCGCTGAAGCGCCCACCAAGTTACCCAGCTTCGACGACACCGTAAGCCTCAAAGACGCGGTCGCTCGGCTGGTCGAGTTGTGCACTGGCAAAGAAGGTTTCCACGAGACCAAGGTTGGCATTGACAGTCTGAAATCCTCTGTCAACTCATATCTTCGAGACAACGAGGCCAAAGAGACAGCAAGGGAGACACAAGTGTTGCTCGAGACTCAGGTCCGCGATCTGCAGGCACACGTCAAGCGCCTCCAGAACGAAATAGACGTTGGACAGTTGTACAAGCAGGACATGGACCACGCAAACTTCCGGCTCGGTGTCATGACTCAAAAGCACAGCCAGGCGACCAAAGACAACGAAAGGGCACAACAGGACCTCGAAGCTGCAATCTCGACATGCAAACAACAAAACACAAAACTGACCGCCGACCTGATCAAAGAAAGGACTGCCACTCAAGCCGTCCAAGTTGAACGTGCCCGTCTGGAAACAGACGTCAAACATCTCGAGGAGCACAAGAGCGGCTCTGAGTCAACGAAGCAGCTGTTAGCTCGCGAGCTGAACCGCTTGACAAAAGACAATGAGTCCTTGGCCAAGCGGTGCTCATCTCTGGAGGCCACGGTCGAGTCGCTCAGGACTCGCAACGACGGCTCCGTGGAAACGATCAAGAAGCGACACAAAGAGCTGGTGCAAGCATTGAAAGCAGAAGCAGCACGCAGCAGCGAGATTTCGGATGTGCGCAACGAACTCAACCACTTGAAGGAGGCCAAAGACAGAGATTCGGCTGTGATGGATCAGGTGACCGAAGAGCTGAATGAAGCCAAGAAAACCAAGATGATGGACGACCGCGAACTGTCATCGTTACGTGAAGAGTGCAGCAAGCTGAAACAGAACAAAGTAATCGATGTGGCAACAACTGGCCGGACCGCCGAAGAGCTGACAGACGCGATGATTGCCAAGGCAGCCATCGAGCGCCAACTCTCTTCACTGCAGACCGAAGTCACGGAGTTGAGGAAGTTCAAAGCAGACGCAGAATCTCGGATGACGAATGCCACCAACACAACCACTGCAGAGAACGAACGCGCCAGTGTTGCCGACAATCAAGCTGAGCAGGATTTCTCGAGAATTCGGGCTCTCGAGGCTGAGACGGGCGATTTGCGCCAAGATAAGCAGCGGCTCGCGACTGAACTCTCAACTGCAAACGAGAGAAACTCGCAGCTTCGGATCGACATTAAATGCAGCTTGGCTGAAACAAAGGCAGCCCATACCAGGATTGAGAGTCTCAAGGGAGAGGCCACGCATCTCAGGCTGGACAAGGCCAATCTGGAGCAGCAGGTGGCAGACGCCGAGAGCAGAAATGCCCAGGCAGATGCTAAGATCGAAATTCTTAAGGAAGATGCCGCGCATCTCAGACGAGAAAAGTCTAGCCTAGAGCAGCGAGCGGCATCCGTCGAGATCAGAAACGCCCTGATGTGTAATTTCCAGTGCCCCAGAGACATCGACACCAAACTTGACGCGATGCTCGAGTCCTGTGAAAGGGTCAGGTTGCAGGTAGACGCCCTCTCGAGGAAGCAGCTCGCAACGGACCTCGACAACGACTCTGGAGCCAACACGAAGCCGCCGGATTCCCGCAAGAGGAGACTGCCGCAGTCAGATGGGGCAGATGAAGACCAGATAATCTACGAGAATGAGGAAGCCGACGAGACTGAGGAAGTCGACGAGGACGAGCGTGTGGAATATTCTGAGGAAGTCAACGAGACTGAGGAAGTCGACGAGGACGATTTTCTTCTGGACTATTCTGAGCACCTTCACAATTGGACTGAGTTCTGCAACGAGAAGATTAAGTGCTACCCTAAGGATATTGAGGCTAACCGGCGACTGTTGGACTTGAAAGTCTACAATGATGGAAAGCACATGGCGATGTCTCTTATCTATGAGAAAATCTTGCCCATCGCCAAGCGATCGCATCTCTGGGAGCGAATGAGAGACTTTATTGATATCACAGAGCCCAATGAGATCTACTGCGCCTTTGAGATGGTGGACCAGGAGAACTGTTACAAGCCGGAGCGGCTTAACACTAGAAAGTCCAAGTGCGACTACCACAACGCAAAAGACCAGCTCTGTTTCAGGGTCACATGCATCCTCAAGGATGGCGAGAAGCAGTTCATCATTGGCGAGAAGAAGCACAACTTTGGCTGACGCGCATGAAGAGGAAGCAGTGGACACAAATGTACTTAGCTAGATTGACGCCAATGAACGCCATTCAATCCAAGTCCAGCTATAGAATGAATGAGTACTGATTGGCTGTCTTTTAGTAGCTGCTAGTAAAAGTGATAAGATGGGAGTGTATTAATACCGGCAGATGTTTGTGAATGAGCTGCTTTTTGTTGTATGAAGGGAAAGGTTTTCATTGCTCTGCGCAAACGTATGTGATCTAGAGACAACACACGCCTCCTCCTCCTACGCATGGCGACGAGCTTTATCGCTTGTGAAATTGGTCCTGATATCTGCTGTGATCTAGCACAGTAAGTTGCTAATATTCTTCCATGCAGAGGGACCAATCAGAGACTCAACTACGACACCGTCAATCAAATTTCTTTGACCATCCTCGCCATTGAGCTTAGACCCATTAAAGCCAACTGCTCAAGTCAACTGACGCTTTGAAGATGTCAGGAAATCACTCAGGTCAAAGACACTGACTCCCTTTGAACTCGACCTATCCCCGAGCCTCCTCGCGAGCAACAAATGTTGCACTACTCCCAACGAAGCTATTCCAACCTCGGCAACGCCCATGTACGACGTAACATGACGAAACCACCCCAGGATTGCATGATCGTGGCGCGAAAACCTCCGGACAGCCGCAAGAAAAAGACACGAGCGCGTCAACCACCGTCAGGCCTTGTGTTCGTGCAACGGCGGACTCGTGCGACGTGCCAACCTGTCCTCTTCCAGTACCCCTGCGAAGGCGACTTCGTCCAGGACGACCAAGATTGCGCAAGATATCGATGACCGCTGCAATCCCGTCTCTAATGAGCACAATATCGCTCGTTGGGCCAACACAGGCAGCTAGCCGATGCGTTTCGTCACTGTGATGCCTCGAACCTCCAAAGTCCCCACCGCCAACAGGGGAAAAATCTCGCAAACTTACCAAAAACGAGATCTCTTCAGTCTCGGCGGGAGCCTATCTATGATCGCCGACGACGCCGGCCCCAGATCGCCAATGCCCCCAACAAGGCAATCGTCAAGGGAATCTAAGCCCGCATCGAACCAATCTCCCAAAGAAGCTCTCGACATGCTGACCGATCTGTAGCCAGCCGACCCTCCAACTCCGCTTCATCGGAAAGGTTTCTCGCAGAACGAACGATCCAGCCCGTCGTCGGGGACATTCCCACCAATCCGCCGCGCCAATTCATCGCGGAGACGCATCTCCCACGCCGTACCACCGACATCTCAGACCGGGTGCTCGCATCGATGATGACTCCATCAGGGAAAGAAAAAGAAAGCGGAGGCTCGGTTCCCAGCTAGTCGGTTGCCTTACTCCCACCGAGAGCCCGCACGAACCTCTTCCTCCCCCCGCCCGCTGCGACCAGCCCCGGCAGACCGACACGCAAGGGAGAGGAGACGCCGCCCCGTTCTCCGACCGAATCTGCCGCCGCCCGCGGGGTCCCAGGTTTCCCCATGCCCACCGGTGCGGGGCCACTTGCTCCGGCACTCGCCTTGCCGGCTAGCGACAGCCAGGAAAAAGAAAGCCCGGCCCTCACCGGTGTAGCAGTCTCCTCTGATTATCGCATGGGATTGTTTCTTTTTCCAGGTCTCAAAGAAGATTTGTGTAATCCCCGAATTCTTTACGCGGTCGACACAGCTTATCTCCCATGTTTCTCCCTGAGCCGAGAGCTCTAAACCGCGTCTACCCATGAGGAGAAGATCAGCAGAGAAGCAAATAGCCGGGAACTGATCAGCGAGGTTCTCCGACCATGGCGGAGATAGCGAAACCCTGAAGAAAATTCGCAGGATGTTCTAGGCCCAGCGGCTCGGGAGATGGACGGGTCATCGATTGGACCTCGTCCCCCTCCGGCCAGGCCCGGTCCTTAGAGTAAGGATCACGGCAAATTTCCCAGTCCCAGACTCCCAGCCCAGACGACACTCGTCGACGACAATTCCCGTCACCTGGATTCTGACAGCCAAGATTAACATCATGAAAAAGTATGGGTGGGGAGTATTGCCCGGCTCTGAGGGAGCTTTATAGCAGTTTACCAATGCGAGTTTCTCAGTTCTTTAACACGATTCTAGCACTTCAGCCCGTGCTATCTCTCAATATAACAAATGGATACAAACAACAGTTGTCATGAAAAAGTATGAACGGCTCAGCCAGTCACTGAGTCACTCGGCCCAGCCAAGAGGCAAGTTCCTCATCCCACCACCCTTGGCCATCCCGACTAGCGGGTTGCGTCCCTGGCAGATTCGGCAGGAGACGCGGCCAAAAGAAAAATGCCGATCCGATCAGCACCAGACCGAGATGGGCGTCGTCAATTGGACGTCCGCGGCTGACGTTGGGGAGGCATCCTTCGTCAGGGCTGATAAGCAAGCTGTACCTGCTGTAGTAGAAATCTCCGTACAAGGCTGGCTCGTCATGGGGCCCAGGTGAGCCTGGATAGAGCATTCGGCGGCCGCCATCGTCAGCCCTCACGGTGTGTCCGGTTAGCCCGGTCTGATGCAAGTCACACCTTCACATCCGTATCGGGAAGAGGTGTCCACGAAAGCGGACGGAGGGTCGCGAGAACGAGGGTTGGCTGAGCCTGCTTTTCGTAGTAAGCCGACGAGCAGAGGGAGGGAGAGGCAAAGGTGTGAGGGTTTGGCGTGGATTGACTGGCCGACGAGAGGAGGGGTCGTAACCGCATACTCGGGCTGAGAGTGGGCATGGCGTGCGCAGACATCGTCTCGTCCAATAGTTTAGTTACTGAGGACGGTGGCCGGGAATCTGCACACTCGTGCATCCCGTCACAGATGCGTGCCTCTCCTTCGGGACAGAACCGCGGGCGGAGCGCAGACGGACGACGGCGCAAAGACAGCCCATATGGTGCGAGAAGCAGGCCAGAAAGCTGCGATAGCACAGCCGTGGCGCCTCGCTTGCCCGCCGAGACTTCTTCCTGATGAACGCTCGTCGTCTGCTCGTCATCGTCGTCGTTTCGACGCAAGGGGACGCAATTGACCGAGGGAATTGGAGGGAGAGTGCATGCCACTTCGCCGTCGAAGAATCCTGAACCCCGTTTCGCCACGCTCGAGGTAACAGAATGTGAGGAGAAAACACACCTGCGGGAAAGAAAGCTGAGACTTACGAGGCCCAACGGCGGCCAAAGTAGGGTGCGTTGCGCGCGTGCGTGTGCATTCCCAACCCGCAACGGTCTCAGCCCGCTAGTTCATGTCGTCTTGTGGCGCGGTGCTCTGGAATGTGAACGGTAGTAATGACACTAAGCCTAGCCTCCACACCAGTAGCCGTTGCGACAACTTGTCACGAAGAGGCGACTGTCTCGCATAGCCAAAGTCAGAGAGGAAGGATGACCCGCGAGAGGGTGTCGTCCATCAAGGTCCGTTTCTGGTGCCGCGCAACCTCCTCGACTGCTAGCCATGGGCGCAGCTGATGTCGTTATTGGTAGGCTTTGCAAGTTTGCCCTCCTCCGACCCCCAACCTCACTCCATCTCGTCGGCGGGCTGGCAGGCAACCTATGCAGCAGACCTGCATATCCTCAGAGATGGTGAGACGGGGAGGACGAACGTCGTCTGGGACTCGTCGAACCTCCCGCAGCCGGGCATGATTGGCTCGCGGCGCCGCTATCGACGACGTTCAGTTGGTTGCCTCTATCTCAACCCCTAGAGGATCATCTGGGAGTTGTCACAAAATGTGAGAACGTAATGCACCGGTCTAACTGACTGTACTCTGCGTATATGATAGACCAAGGGGTAAAAAATTACCTGCCCGAAAACAGTCAGGACTGCGTCCGCCGTGTAACACGACATGGCACTCGCCAACGGGCCAAGCCCAGGAACTTTGGTTGCGAGGAGCACTGACAGCGGCCAACTCATTCCTAGGACGACGGGTACTGCCCTGCCCTGCATCCGCAACCTTGCATGGCTATGAGCCTTGTGCGGGCTGGAAGTGCCGAGAGAGAGAAACACAACGTCGAGACAACTTGTTTACGACGACCCCCGCAGCTCTGGTCAGATATCAACGCCGGTCCGTTCAAATCCCGTAATCCATTTGCTGCTCTGCCAGCAAAAGACTGTCGCGGGCCCCCTGGAGGGGCTAGAACGGCAGCGTCGGATGCTAAAGTGTCCGACGACTAGAGCCAGGATGCCAAGCCGCGCGTACTCTGTGTGTCCTTTGCAAGGGGAGCGACATGCCCCAATCCGAAAAGGCCTGCAGAGGGCGTCATCACGAACAATACCGACCGTCAGACTTTGGCTTGTAAGAGAAAAAGGGCCAGGCTCACGTCCAAAGACGCTAAGTGTGCTGTGTGCGTGATCGCCGTCCAGCAAGGCGAACCCAGAAGTCGTGGGTCGAGGCAGGCAACCGCCATCAACTAGAAACCAAAACCTCACGGGTGCCATGGCCCTGACATGTTCGGATATGCAGGTCGCCCATTTCGTGAGGTCGGGACCCCGGTCGTCATTCGCCGGGCCAGGCACTGGAGGAGGCCAGCTTTCGCCGATGCAGCCGTAACCCACCCCGTTCCCCCTGATATGTTGGGGTAACGATAGAGATCGAAACGGGAGAGAGACGGCCATGCTCGTGGCCCTGACATTCAATAGTTGAGGGGCCTTGGATGGTGTGGCGTTACGCCCGAGGTGATGCTATTCATGGACGACGGACGATCTTTTCTTGTTACTGCTTCATCAATTAGCCTTTTGACACTTTGTTCGAGAAAATGACAAGCCGGGGTGAGATATGCAAACCTCAGTTGAGCTTCCATGTCGCGCGCCACCAGGGTCCAACATGGCTGTTGCAATGGAAGCCGTGTTCAGAAACAACAGACGAAAGACCAAGCTCGAGATGAGGAATCCGAGAGCACCCCTGTCGTCTCCTTGATCGAATGCTGCGTCTCAGACTTCAGCTTTTCTTGGCTGCCTGCTGTCTGCTTATGTGAGGTGAGGCCGGGGTGAGGAAACAAGACGGAGGAGGAAAACAACATGGAAAAAGCAAG